GCCGGCTCAGTGGTCTAGAAGTTAAACGTTTGCGTGCGAACCGAAGGTTTTGGGTCCGAATCTGGTGTACGGGATCATGAACACGCACTACTGAGAAGTTCCATACTAGAACGAAATGGCCGTTCACTGCTTCCAGGTTTTCAATGGTGTTCTATTTTAGATCAACTCATCAAGTCGACCGTCAATATTTTGAAATCACCAATAATAACTGTAACTCAAATTAAAATGCTTGAATCATGTTTGTTAACTCTTTCGTGAATTCTTAATTTTTATAATCAAGGAATACAATAGTTCTATACAAGTTAATTTAATATAAGAATATAAATGAGGATCCAATGTCTCTAACATTCACGTTTAGTTTTATTCAATGTACATTCCTTTATTTTTATTGCTTTATGAAATGATTTTCTGGTTTTAGACTTACTGATAGTTTTCCAAACCCACTCTTGTTACTACAAACTGTAACAAAATACTTTTTCTTGGAATAAAGTAACCGTAAATTCAGATAATTACTTTTGAATATATACCAATCAATTTAAATTGCTTTACAGATAATATATCATTATGCGATATACTAATTTTCCAGCTGTTTCATTGTGTATTTGTATTTTAATTCATTGAACATAATAAATCATGAATCGTTATTTGGAATCTTTATTATAGGCTGAGGTTGGTTAATTATCGTTTCTTTAGTCATTATCATATCTTGGATATGGAATGGTAGTCTCAAGCTAATCTAATTCCGTCAAAATATCATTCATTAATATAATTAATATAATCTGCTCACGTTTTTAAACTGTCTAACTGGCATTAACTAAGGTTCAGTAGGTACTTATACTTTAATGCCGATTATAATAGGACGTAGGTAATATCATTTACCAGTAACCTCTGATAAATAATAGTGCAAGGCACAAAAACCATCTAGTAAGTAATATTTTGTTATCTAGGTTATTTACGAAAAGCGATCAATTCAACATGAAGTAGCGAAGCTCAATGTAAATCTACAAGTCTAATTGATAAGAAAGATCTTATCTAGTCATCTTGATAATTATGTCAATAAACCAAATTATTTGGTGTAATATGACAAAATCAAACTTCAACCCAAACAACATCCATTTTACAAATTATAAATTGGTTAGTTACCAAAATCCATAATTTTCGTAATTAAACCCAGAAGTTTTCTAAATCATATGTTTATCTACTGCAAGGAACGCAAAAAACTGGCCAGTGAGACTTGTTCGTTGCTGTTTTCGACCCAAAAGTGTCTGCATTTCCTTTAATAAACCGTAAAAAAATTTAACACCTTGCTACGGAATGTTATTTTGACAACCAACTCCACGAAGTTGTATCATATAAATGTAAGAAACATGTTTTAAACAATTATTTGAAACATTTTGTCATCATTTTAGACGGTATACAGGAAACTATCGCAAGATATTCTTCTTTATAATGGCTATTCACTTAGTGCATGTAATGAGAATTTTTCTTTCTTTATGAACTTAAACCTGTCTACACTATCTTGCAAATACTTTTATAAACTTCCAGTGACATTATAGTGTCAGCTAATGCTCAGTGAATGGATGTTAAACAAAATATATTATGTAGAAAAACTATCACAAGTTAACCGAGTTCAATCTGTTAAATAATTCAAAATCTACTTGATGGATCATGTCTAATAATCTAAAAGCTGATTTACCTACTGCTACTCAGTTTTAGATGTACTTGGTTCGATCTCAATGACCTAGGGCTGTATCGTGAAGGCGAACTACTAGTATCCCTGCACTATATTTTTTTTACTTTAGATGAAATGGAAAGCAACTGTGTAGTCTGAATTAATCTTTGGCTATTAATTTCCCATAAGTTTAATTGTCATTAGTCTTTCAAATTTTTCATTATCAGAAATTTCTTTTTTACCCGTCTCGAGTGGAAATAAGACTGACATCCAAATTTTACATCAAGTTCTATTGGCAACTTATTGGGTTATATACTAGTAAGAAGGGAATCAATCTATACTAGATCTCACAATTTTATCAGTATTATTTCCCTTTCTGGGTATCATAATCAACTAATTTTTTACCTTATACTATATAGTAATTAATCAATTGAGACAGGGGTTTGTAGTTATTATGCATGAACAATGATTGAGAAAAAACAACAACATTATAGCGTACCAATAATTGATAGAACAGTAAAAATGCATCGGTTCTTCGTTTAAAAGTATTTGTCTCTGTGTGTATGTGTTATTTTGTTTAAATCAGTTATCTATTTATAATAACAAAGTGATAAACTTTAGTTTTGTAGATAAAAGTAAGCACACAGCACGGTATGGTGGAAAGCCTGTTATTAATTTCTTCGAGACATCAATGTTATTTTTTTCATTAACTTTCATTAAAATGAATTGAATATATACATTCGCTCCTCTTCTAGAAGAGTGATTTATCTCCAACCTGGAGAACAGTATTCTTTGGGGGCGATGATCGATTATTTTCATTTTTAAATGGATTTGTTTGTTGTCATCTAATTATTATATACTTTTCTCCTAGACATCCATTTGCATCTACGATATTTGGTAACAGTGGATTTTGTTAAAAAAACATCGATACGTTCTAAATAACTCTATCCCTATTAGTAAAACTCTGAATAAAATCATTCTCACTACTGTCAAATGTTTAATTTCTTCTAAATATCAAAGGCGAAAGATTTTAGGCCAAGCTTAGGCCAATATATTTCTAGTTTCAGTAAGTGCATTCTCTCCTCCTCCAAACATCCACACTAGTAATTCATCGTAAACGTGTAAAAGTAGTTGATAGAAATAATTCAGGCATCAATTATTCAGAAATCAAATATGATATGCACCAACATTTCACCGTTTTGTCTTTTTGAGCTAAAAGCCAAAAAACTATCAATATGCAGCACTTTTTACTTTTCTATATTCATCAACCTAAGCTTTATCTACATAAATAACAGATACAGAGCAGAAAATGTACGACAACACAGGTTTAATAAAATGACTGAAATTAAGGTGAAATGTGAGTTATCAGAAATATAATAACTTTTCATTGAGTAACATCTGTATTTATAAAAAGTAAATAAGTGTTGCTTGTCGATCAGTGCAAAACATGAGGGTAATCTAATCTTTTATCTATATCAATACTGAATAACTATAACAAACACTTCCACCTAATCATATTATTATTAGATTTCATATTTATTCACGAAAATTCCGTTGTCTAAACTGATACTGAAATAAATAGTAAGTAAAAAGACGATTAGAATTTTTTGGTGCTACACCTTGGAAAAGTTGTTTTCTGAATGATTATAAAATATTTTACACATTAAGTATTAGGATCAAACTTTAAAACTGCAAGAATTCTAGTTTATTCAATGTTAGATTTCTGTAAGGATCATTTCTGTTAAATAGCGCACGAATACTACTCCTAAGATTAGGCAGATAACCTGTTAATTATGCAGGTTGAAAAACAGAGTTTTCAGCATCACTTGGTGCTGAAGACTAATATTCTTGTACTTTTAAAGGTGATACATTTTACTACCATAAAAAATAACTAACTGACCTCATAAATTTTGATCTCTGACATCAATATTGGATATCCATCATTAAATCATTTACTGAAATATCTGAAATTTTGTATTTGATTGTTCTTGTCGAAGTGATAATAATGAATACTGTACTGACGTAAACGTAATCTAATTTATTTAGATCAAATTTCCAGACTGTAATAAAGTTGTTGAAATCTGATTTAATTCCTTATTATGTTCATCGTTTCTTCATCCTCATTTGTTCTTTATCTATTTTCTATACAACACTTCCTCTTCCTATTTGACTATTCATTGCGTGATTGCTGATGGGAACATAATCTACTAGTTTTGATTGTTTTTCTCCCGTTCATTCTCTCTCTCTCTCTTACTCTCTTAATAGCAAATGACAGTATGTCAGACATTACTAAAACGGGCATCGATAAACACACTAAAATTAATTAGTTTTTTAGGAGAACGGTGTGAAGAATGTATAAATGTCCTTCTTGTTGAACTTTCTAATAAAGTTGTTTGTAAAAAACTTGTTACCAAATTTCTGCAACATTCTGTTATGTGCCTTTTGTGTAAGATATCCTATAAACGAGATGTTTTCAATAAGAGGAATTCGCACTATATATCAGTGATCATATTGATCTACAGGCTTCAATAGTCATTGAACGGTCAATAAAAAGCGTTTGCTAATGTTCACGTGGTTAAACTGTGTAATAGATCATGTTATTAGAAGAGTTACTTATAAATCAGGCATTACATGAATACATTTTTACCTTCAATATTGATTATTTTATGACCGAAAAATAAGTTTATGATATATCTGTCCGAATGAGTTAGGTGATATATATATGCTTCCGATTATTTCACTTTTCATTGTTAAACTGGAGGTTGATAATGATTATCATCAGCGAATAATTTCATATAAGACAGAATGTACATGTCCTCCAAAACAATTACAATCAAAGCAACATAAAAGTGGGGATTTGGTTTGGAAATATGAAGTCAGATTGATGATTATTACTCATCAGTGACTTTAGTAAGAATTGCAGTTTCAATAAGTAATAATAATTGATTTCATAACCTTAATCAGGAAAGACTATAATTTACGGATGAACCAATCAAGTATTGGATTTTGGTGCGATTTCATTCATCCATTTGGCTAAATAGCGTTTTGGCATTTCAGCTTATGTCAGTTCGTGATGAAAACTCTAAATCTAATTCCTTACCCTAACCGTTAACTATAAATCATAATTCTGGTTCATTGCACTGGTTTATAGTCCTCATTTAGTCCTAGTTATTAGGGGATATTCTCAAGGTTATTTTAGCGTCGCTCAAAGGTCATCCATAAATTATAATCTCACCCTAAACCATCTTTAGACTTAAAGCAATCTAATAAATGAGTTTTTTCAAATCAGACATTTCGTATTTTTCAACTGCATATATTTTCTTTTCAGTTTTTATCACTTTGCTTATTCCTATAATCAGTGGATACACTTGTACTCCTGGTACTGGAGAAATTTTACTTCGAAGCTCCGCACTTAATTCAGCGGAGAAACGAGTAGAAAACGATATAACTTCTAACAGTAACAACGAAGATGGAAACGGAAAGCACTTAATAAAACAAGGTATATTCACCTCACCAAAATGGCCCAAATCATATGAATCTGGGACACGTTGTGTTTATCGTTTTATAGCGGATGTTGGTGAGAAAGTCCATATTAAATTTGATCACTTTGTTTTATCGGGTGATATGCCAAGGTTAGTTCATCAATTATTATTGATTTTATAGTTTTCCAGTAGTTCTTTATTATTTTGTAATCGACTAAACTGAAATAATGTGAACGAGAAACAGATATTGAAAGATTAATCAATAGCTTATTGTGAAAGAACATAACTCTATCACTCATATTCTTCTTTTTTTTAATACATGGATTGTCTTATTATCCATCTTATTAATTAATTATGAAGAAAATAATCTAAGAATTATCTAATAAAAAAGTCAATCGTGTGTCACTATACATGTCTTTGAATATTTACCTACTATCAGCTGGACTTTTCTAATCATATAATTGGATCCTTCTGGCATCTTCAGAAATCATGTATCGCAGCTACAGTGTGCTCTAGATTAGATGATTAAGTAATATATACGTATTGTAGCCTATTATTTGCTCAACAGCTAGCAAAAGTCAGCTGTACCAGAGCTTACCTCTTGTACTCGTGTGAATATTATATCATCTACTGACCTACCAACAATTGTAAAATGTCAAAAATAAGTAAAATGTTCTATGTGTTAAATTGATTTACTCCTTTTACCTAATCCAGGATATGAAGATATTTTGATAAATTATTGTTAGAGATGATTCATTTCATTCCTCATTATTCTAACAGTGTTCATTCTTTGGTTTCATACTGGGGAGTTGATCTAATTCACAATGATTTCCATCATTATTCTGCATTAATTAAGTTGAATGATAGATGATAACTAGTCATAACTGGGAATAAATTATGTGAACCATTCTAATACACTTTTATAGCGATATTAGATTTCATGGATTTGATAGCGTAGAAAGGAGGAAGTGTATATTGAATTATGTATGTATACGTTAAAATGTATGACCAATGATACCTGTCCTTCATTGATTTTTCAGCTATAAAACTTCAATCGAAAATGTCCCCTAAGTTTCAGCGAACTTCATAAATATTCTTATATAACATTCTAATTTATAGGCGTGAAAAATGTTTTTAATAACAATACAAATATACTGGTGTTTTTTTTAAATGCATCACAGCAGGAAATTGAATAAACTGATGGAATTGTTGTATGGAAGATTATGCTGCGAAATTCATTATCCCACCCACATCTATGTAGGGTTAATTGCAGTAACGATAATGTATTATTCGCAAGTGTTTCTAGTGGATTATATTTAAATAAAAATAATAAATTAACAAGGAATATTATGTTGTTATCAGACCTTATCCCTGTTGTGTTCAAAAAGTATTAGCCAATAAATTCTTGACTGATTGTGCTTTCCAAAAGTGTCTTAACAGTGTGTTATTTCTTTATGAATATTATTTATTGTGCGTACTTTTCATTTTATTTTTTGTTATTATTTTAAATAAAAAAATTTTGTGATTAAGTTACACTCAATTTGTATGTACTTTTTCTAAGTAGACATTGTAAAACAAATATCTCCCAATACTGAGACATTCAGCAGAATTGTTTTCGTTACACCATCACAAACCCAGATATGACTTGGGAGAGTTTTTAAAACAAACAACTTTCTTGGATTTAGCAAGTTAAAATGGTGTAGAGAATCTGTAGTTTCGAGTATGAGTTTGTTGAAGTTGAGTGATCCTATCTAGGGGATATAATCATAAAGCTTTCATAGTTTTTGTGGACAACACCAATATATTGATACTTTTTACCTACAGCGATAGGCTCTCGTGAGCTAAATTTAATATTTTAACTCCAGTTACAGTATAAAAGGGTTAAGATGTTCTAAATATCATAAGCGCAACATTCTCGGGCTCAGGCAAAACTTCATAGTTGAGTGTTATGTGGACGCTTGAACTAGAATTTATTGATCATTGTTAAATATATTATTCGGCATTAATCTTGTTGTGTTGTACAATCACTAATTTTTTAAAACAATTTTAAAATCTTACCTGTCCAACTAAATATGAGAAGTGAAGTATGGTTTCGATGAAAATGTGCGATAATTTCCGTGTGTAAACTATGCAATATACAGATAAATAATTCTTATTTGTTTATGAGTACTTCAACTTTCTGATGAACAAATGTTAATATTAGATTATTGCAATCCTTATAATCTTAACTCGAAAAACATTAAATATAGACATACCTTTTCATTAATTAACGTCATTAGTTTCTCATTAGTTGCGTATAGTTTGAAAAGAAATTTATTAATTACTATTACGTAAAAAGTAGTGATAAATTACTAATCATCATTTTTAATGTTATGGATTGCGAAATATACTTCTAATTCTTGAAAACTGAAATGATAATAAAATTTATTTTAGATAGTAAACTTTGATTCATTATATGCCCGGTATAAGCTATAACATTAGGATTGGATTTGTGGAGATATTGTACAAGTTATAAGTTTTTCTTATCACGAACCATTGAGAACCAATGAACACTAAATAACTGTATCATTGTGGTTCAGTGCTCAGAAACAGTGAGCGCCAACTGTAACAAATGAGGATGAATATCGAATAAACTCAATATCTTCCAAAACTATTGAGGTAAAAACCCACACCTGCAACTCCAACTAACCTTATAGTCTCCATTTAATGTTACCGATGAGTTTCTGTTTTGTTCAAAGGTTTCGATTTTCTAATAGAAATTCTAGCTAGTGAGTACTCAGTTGTGGTTAACAACGTTGGCTAAGTAAAGATCCCGATTTTGATGAAATTTCCTTCATTGTGTGTAAAATAAAGTGATCATTTAGTTTAGGTAAATGCTGCTTAACCAAACACATGCTTGGATGAGTTTCTAGAGTAAATGATTATTCATGTGTTACAAAAATAAATCACATATTAAAAGCCAACTAATCACCTATCAATTCATAATTTAGGGCCATTTCCAGATAGCAGTAAGTGATCTGTTGAACATTGTCTAGATCCGCTATTGTATGGCTTAGAGTCAAGTGCTAAGATGGTTTTCCTTTTCATTCTAATAACTAATGAAATTTGATTTTGCTTGAATGCTACATGAATTCCCTTCTAAACATCATGGTGAAAATTTGTGTGTCATCTGATTGCTTTCGATGGTATTGACCTGGTCTGGATGGTTTCACTCTAAAGTCTTTATCTTTCTTGTTTATGACCCTATATTCTAATATCAATGTATGGGCAGAATCCTTCAATCACCTTTTCCCCAGAATCCAGTACCAGGTTATCATAGATAGTAATCAAGTAGTACTAAATGAGAATTTCAGGTTATACAATTACTCTGGGTATAAATGCGAAGATTTTAGAAGAGAAAGATCCCAAAACTAAGTGACAAAACTAAGTAACAAAAAATGTCTTAACGAGGCGACTCATAATTTTGTTGAATATTTAGTTTTCCTTTCTGCAGAACCTTTAAGCTATTTAACAACTTAGATAAATACCCCTTTTTCTATTTTTCTCCCACTGTTATTCCTAACAGTTGTTCAGTCGACTTCTTGGATGTGTATATTGATGTTGCTTCGTCAACACTAGATTTGGATAGACAAGCTGCAATACTTGTTGAAGCCTCTTCTTCTTTATCATCATCATCTAATGAACTACACACAACAACACCATTTTCAGCCTCTGTTTATTCTTCCGTATTAGATAAATCAGATTTATTGGGCCGATATTGTGGTGATTATCTAGCGACCAACTCTGTCACATTTATTAGTTTACACAGAGAGATTGTATTGGATTTTTATTCAGAGTTAGAAAAAGTGGCAAATCCCTGGTATACAACTGGAAAATCCACTATATTCGGTTTCAACGGAACATTCGAATTTATTAATGATGGTAAGCTTAATAACAGTGTTTTTGTTTTGTTAATTTGTTACACTAGCTTGATGTATAGCGTTTAACGTTAACGAGAAATTCATGTTATATGTTTAAGGGTGCTCAGAAGGAAGTTGAGCATCGAACGATCAAAATAAATTTTGTTGTTTGAAGCAGCCAAGTCTGGTTTTTTCATGGTTGTAGTCAATGCTATAAACAACAATTTGTTGAAATCTCAACTGATTAGAAATACTATTGGATTAATTTTTCAAACATGCAGTCCGTACTATGTTGTTCTGTGCAAATATAAACCTGTTGATTAAGGAGTAATCTGGTTGTGTAATGCAAAATACACTCTAATGCCGGGTCGCATAACACATGAAAGATATTCCATTACTTTATCATCAAACTGTGACCTATCCTAAGGGTCATACAATGAGTAGTGATAAGTACACATAAAACCCACAATTATCAGTCAATATTTTCCAATTAGCCAACATTGACTCGATCACATCACAGTATCGTAGCAAACCTTGTGATTAGATTGACTATGAATGGTATGTACAGAGAGATGCAGAAAGTTATTAATCACTATGGAAAAAATGATTTGCGTAAAGTTATATTTGTTTTTGTTAGTATGCTACCTTATTGTGTTATTGACAAACATTCACATATACTACTTCCAAAAATGTTTAAATGTTTCACTTCACTATTTACAGACTTTCTTCTAACCGTGTGGCCAAATATATTTTAAGCATAAAATGATAATGCTTGAATTTTGTAAATTACCACTCAATGAGCTTCCTGTTATTCATAATATTGCTAATATTCACGCTTCTAAAGTGTCCGAATGTCTGAAACGCCTACCCCATACTCAAAACCTTGTTGAAAACAGTGCTTTGTTTTTAGTTATTCAGGAATTAAACAACTGATACTAAACGTTTTTGGATATAAATTAATAAATTTATCCTAAGTTCAAGGTTCACCTGATTTTTACATAAGACATGTACTCTAACACTCAATACACAGTGTTATTGACCGTTAGTTAATATCATTTGTGTTATTTATTAACTTGATGTCTTTTTAAGTAGGTGAACTCATTTCTAAATTTTCATAATCAGATATGAAAAAAACTTCTTAAAATTCACCCGTTCAATTCACATTTGTAAATAAAGGCCCAACTGTTTAGTACTGATAAATTTCTTTCGTTTGACTTAGGATACTTGTTTTAGGCTTAAGTAAAAGGATTCGCGTAAATTCCTAGTGAACTTGCATACTTGATCACAGCATGATCAGTTAAGATTTATAAATAATAAGCGGTGATGTATAGAATGTGATTTACATTGAAGTTCATTATATTATTTGTGAGAGTGACATTTATTTCTGTATTAGGTAATTATTATTAATCTGTTGTTTACGACATTCTAAACAACTAAGTTGAATGAATTTTTAAAATCGAGAAACGAGATTGACAGATGACTTTTAGCTACAGTATGTAAAATTTAGACAGATTAGGAGCGATAGCCAGCTGAATGTTCGTGACTTAAATAAGTTTTTTGTACGTCAGTCATCTGATGTAATGCTCCCTTCATCCACAGGTTTAAAGAATAACTGTGTTCCTAGTTTCACTGAAACTTATGTCCGAAGATGTCTTCACTCACGTAATTCATCCCGATGTTTAGGACCTGATGGCATCCCAAACCTCCTTTTTAAAAAATTTGCTGACGTCCCATGTTATCCATTCACGACTATCTTTAACAGATTCTTCTCATCTAATCTCATACCGAAAATGTGGAGAAAGATGAAGATAATCCTTGTACCCAAGAAAGAGTCTGGTGATAAGAATGTGAAATTTAGACCTATTGCAATAACTTCACCCTTCCTCAAAACAATGGAAAAATTATTAATACTTCCACTTCAGCCTGCGATAAAACAGCAAATTGATCCGTATCAGTTTGCTTACAGATGCAAAAGAAGCACCTTAGATGTTGATGCTGTTCTGCATCACAATATAGTGTTCAACCTAGAAAAGGGTAAGAAGTATGTTCGATGTGCTTTTCTGAACTATACTTCAGCTTTTGATTCTATACCGAGACAACGTTTAATTAACAAGTTAATCAGCGTCAACACTGACAGCTGGATAATCAACTGGCTATGTTCCTACCTCTCTGGAAGGGACCAGTACACTGTGTTTGGAGGAAAGTGTTCAGAGTCTCTACTGTCTCATGAAGGTGTACCACAAGGAGCTGTTCTTTCACCATTTCTTTTCTCTTCTTTTCCGCATGATCTGCCATCTTCCACAGAAAACACTTTTGTGAAATGTGATGATCTCACTGTATGTATGTCTATCTCTTCCTCTTTACATCCCATAGTAATGAATGAGTTTTTTGTCTCGTATTGATTGTTGGTCTGTTGGTAATGGTCTTATACTTTATCCGTCTAAATGTCAAACTGTTAACTTTAGCATGAGACACGAACGGCATCTAAACACCATTTTGAGATCCCATAATGCTTGTACTATTGGAGACTCTTTGATAAACACAGTATCGAAGGTCAATTACTTTGGTGTTACCTTTTCGTCTGATCTCTCTTAGTCTTCTCACGTTTTATCGTTATCGATGAAGGTTTTCCGTCTGACTTACTGCATAAAGAGATTGCATGCTCTTTGGACCACCCGTCACTTACTCTTACAACTTGTCAATTATTGCATATTACCTATTATTCTTTACTGTTCTCCATTATTCTTTACCGGGCTTTTGAGAAAAGATTTTGCTGTGTTGCGGAGAGTGCTGAAGGCAGTTAGCAAGATGTGTGGCGAATCTTTCGAGTCTATAATTAATATGGTTGTGGATAGACATCTAAAGTTATGCAAACTCCTGGCAGGTGTTATTTTATCAGATACTAACCATCCCCTTCACTCTTATCTTTCTACTTGTATATCTTCTGGTATAACGAGACGTAATTACATTAAAATTCATGCACGCGAGCAAAAGTATAAAAGTTCTATAATACCTTGCCTAGCAAATATACTCTGTGACGAACAGGTTGTCAGAGTTAACCTAGTCAATAACCTGCATTCTTAACATGTCTCTAGTTTGAAAAGTTGTACAGTTTTTCAGATTTCTTTTTTTAAACCTTTCCTTCCCTTTTTTGTCTTTGTTTCTGTTTTTTGTGTGTAACAAACTTGTTGAAATACCCTGTGCTGAGAATTTTTATATTGTACCAAAATACAATATTGAACAAAGCCATTAATAATAATAATAATGTAATATAGCGGGTAACTTGGAAATATATAGAAAATTTGAACAAGAATCGACTCTTAAATCAGTTATCAACTGTTCGTTTTTCCTCAAATAAACACATGTATCTGTAGTCTTATGTACATAGGAATACGAGATTGATCTATACTGGAGGTGGGTGAAATTATTTTGAGAATTTATGGTAATTTATTATCAAGGCTTAGAAATATTACACTTGAAATTAGTCTCACTAAAAGTTTAGCTACGCTCATTTCTCAACTTTAGATATTCAAATGGCTTTGCTAGAATATACTCAGAAATATTTCAGCAATCGCTGGGATCGTTTGACGGTAATTTGAATAAGTACTTGATTCTGGACGTCAGTTTACTTTTATGGTTGCCCTACGACAGTTAGTTTTAATCTTCAGATGAAAATAATAAGCCTATTAGCTGGCAAAATCTTGAGTGAACACCGCAGATCAATAACACTGACTGGATTTTTGTTGATTTTTAAAGTCGACTTGTACTTGTAAACAGACATTTTCATATCTACAGTAGAATAAGTCAGGATTTGGACTTCAACCAGCATATCCAAGCCTGAAGTCATTTATATACTTTATGGTAAATAAAATGATTGTGAATACAAGGCACTAGTCAAAAATGTACATTTGTTCTCATCTGAGTGATAACATGATTCTGTTCACTCAGATGATTGTGTGAGTAAACGTTTGTTTGATCAATAGACGATACATATTAGTATATAAATTAAAAACACTCACAGTTTGTATGAATATCTTGTTTGATTAAATGTCTGCTTTCATTAAAACACATATATATGTGATTCTGAATCAGTGTAAGTGAATCTAATATAAAACTTGTAATTTAGGCTTTCTAGTTTGCTTTGTGATATTAAAGTGTTTTATTGTAAAGACGTACATTCTACTCATACGTCTATCTATCCTTATCAAATCTCAGTTATTCCCTTAGTAACTCAGAGATTATAATCATTCTTTATTTTAGTTGGTTTAGTTTTAGAAACACTAACAAAAAAGGTTAAAAATGTACCTTACTTATTAATCACTTCACTCATCCCTTACGATCAATCGATATAAAGGGCCAAACAACAACGTAAAAACAAACATTTTTCAATAGTCTTAAATAATTTTAGTCTTTTTACTGTATTCAAAAAAATAAATAGAACCATAGGATTCAGTCTGACCAGGGTAAATAAGTAAGTTGGAGAATAATTGAATTAAAAAGTAATTAAAAAACAGAGGTATATTCAAATCAAATTTCTCAAGGAATTCATTAAAATATCACGGAAGTAGCTGACATTTTATCAGTCTTGATGGGCATATATATATCCTGTACAGATTACTCAATTTGGTCATTATGACACAAGTTAACGTAGGATAGATGGGAAGTGACGAGCAGTAGAATTTGGGACGAGCATTTCGTTTTGAGTTCAAGTCCTGGAGGGTAAATCACCTCTGGGATGCAGGTACACCCAGGTAGGAAGTCTTAAACAGGACGAAACATGCGTCCTGGATTTTACTGCTAGTCGCATTATATTTATTCCATAAAAAAGTATTTGTTCAGTTGCCTTGTTAAGTAACTCTTGAATAACATACACAGTATTCTCGTTATATACATACTTTCGTAGCAAATTAAGTATAAGAAAGTTAAGAACATTATGCCTTCTGCTTTCAGTTGTGGTTGAGTAAATATTCTTTTTAGACAGGAAATACATTTTTCTAATAGTTTTGAAAACAGATTAAACAGAATTCGCTGAAACAAAAATTCTTAGCCAAAGTTTTCTGATTAACTATTGGAAGACAGGCGCCTTCAAATAAAACAAATTTTTTTCAATTTATCACCAGTCTCATAGTTAATGATATTTTATTTCCTCCAAGACAATAACCAATTTTCTACAGTTTATTTGAGACTCAACTGTCAAACAAATAGTGAAACCTGGTTTACTATTTTTCAGAAAACAGCATAACATATACACCCGTATATCTTTGTTCAATATTTCTTAACTTACCTTTTCAGTCATTAATTACTGGTACCTAACAAACACTGGAAATATAACTTGCTATTAGCGTTATGCTTTATTTTATGTAATACATAAAAGATTATTGTCATATTTAATAAAATACAATCATTTACTTGAATTATTTTCTCACTTATTCATGGTTTATCCATATTCGTGGTTAACTACGAAAGCCTTAATATCATACTTAAGTAATTGTACCATGATATGCATAAAACGCAATGAATCGTTCAAATGGTCAACCTTGCTTCTAAATTTCAGTTTTTAACTGTTCGATTGATTTTCTAAAGTATTTTTAGAATAGTTTACTTGAATAAAGCCTTTAGAAAAATATGATTGCACCAAGAGTAGAATATTTAACTATATATTAAATAGATTTCTCCTCAGGCTTTAAACCATTCTATAGATAACTTATTACGAGGGTTGAAAAACTCAACCTGAAAGTCATTAACGACTGAACTTTCATTGACCAAATAACTTGTTTATAACAGCTTGAATTTGTGATCTTTGTTCTAAAACGTGTCACGTTCGAAAGGAGCGTGAACATGAAAATTATCTTAGTCATTATAAACAGTGAAATAAATATCAACAAAAGATTTCAAATGAATAAAATGTATTTTAAAAATATCTTGCCTTCACCAGATTACATCACTGATCTTCTGAAAAAAGTATTTCACTCAAGGTAAAAATGATAGACCTTTTACTTGTAAGCGTTTTCATTGCTAGTTTTTTTCGCACATGGTAGCATAACTAACTTGATCCGTAATCGTTTTTTATGCATTTGACTGTTGATTCATCAGTGGTAGAACCATAAGTGACCATCTTTAGGTTGTCACCAAACCAGTAAGTTTTATATAATCCTTAAACCGATTGGATTCTCATTCTCAGTAGAGTTATATTATGGAGTCATTTCACTCGTTACTCAAGAATGTTGAGAATTGAGAATTACCCCTTCCTTCCAATTATATTAGATGAGACATGCATTATGTCACCACATGTGACGAGTTGAAAATGGGAATCACTGAAATTCGATTCATTGGTTTTATGCTGTAACACAATCTAAAGGTTTTGGCCCCGTTTTGGCCAATGGTATATACTAATAAGAAGTTCCATGCTTAAACGAAACAGCTGTTCTGTGTGTTATGATATACTATACATGAATATACTATTTACTATTTAACTATGAAAAGAATAACATAAGTACTTTAAATTTAGATTAAATAAAACTGGTTTATTTACTTACTGAATTTTACGAAGTATCATAATACACTTTATTCAGCCAAACATTTAAAACATAGGTTTAATCTTTACCTCCAGATACTTGAACACTGACAGCAACAGCAGCTGGTGCTGGAAAATTAAATGTAACAATGGCAACAATGTATGCTATTGAAATTATTAGCATTATTACAATCACTCAGAGCAGAAAGAAACTACAGTATTTCCATGTGATAATCTGAATGAAAAGCTTTCCAGAAGCATGTGATACTATTATAATAGTACAACGATTAAAAAACAGCAGGTGGTAAAATTCTGCTTGGAGTTGAATATGTCTATTATGACATAAATGGTATTATTTGTAAGACAAAAAAACATCCTGAATACGACTTTTCAAAAGAACTACAAGGAATAGAAGTTCATTAATAAAGTTTTAGAATTGTCTCTAAATATCTTGGTAGGTTTACCCAATGGTTAGATAAAAACCATTGTAAGCTTGAATAGTCTTCGCTTTTAAACAAACTGTTTTAAAAAGACATAAAATATTCGTTTTGTCTTATCGTTGTTTTTTCCTACATGTTTGTGTTTGCAGATGCATTCTATCCTGGTAAGGCTGTTTCTTCCTCTGAATTGTATATACCATTTGAAGATGACATTACTACTAGTACTGGCAATGCTACTGCTGCTTCCACCATAACTAGTAGTAACTGTCGTTTTCGTATTGAAGCAGATCATATTGCTAAACCTGACATAAATGGAGATATGACTAAATTAGATGAAATATCTGGTGAATTAATTTCACCTACCTACCCAGGTTACCAACCTAACAATCTTCTCTGTGTATATCAGTTAATTGGGCTTCCATATCAGCGAATTAGTTTGGATATTTTGGACATAGACTTATACTCAGGATCACCAGGGTAAGTAATGTATCATTCGATTGCATACTAGCATTATGTGTTGTCCATTTTTTAAATCTATGGTGTAAACACCATGAAATCCAGGTGTGGGGACTTATCGACACTTAGTATTATAGTCCTATCTACCAACTGAATTAAACATTTATGCATTTCATCATTGCTGAAAATTTATTGATAAAGTAGTCAGCTTAGGAAAACACAGCGTAAATAAGTAAACATCAGTCGGTTTATGATCTCAATCAAAAACTTAACAATCTCCACAAGCCCTAAACTGGAAATTGTTATATGTTAAATGTTTTGTTTTGTAAGTCATGTAATTTACATATAAATCAAGGTAAGCACCTAGCATTTATAACGTGATTAATTTCAAATCATGCACTTAACTACTTGTTTTTTGCAGTTTTACTTAATTGTGATTTGTCAGCTTCTCTTTTCAGTATTTATATCTTGTAATTTATAAATAATTTTATCAGTGACTTGACAGTATTTCAGTACTATTCCATTATTCTTCTCTAATGTTAAATTATACTTACCTTCAAAAAACCGATGAAGTGAGTTAAAGTTCAGCATTCAAACATATTCAGTTTACACTTGCAAGATACGGGTAAATGAATTTGATTGTCAGTTTATGTATTCAGTTTAATTAGCGAATTCTGCAAATAGCTTTTCAACATTTATTTGTAAAACTGTTTAATTTCGTCACAGTAAGCTGATTAGTTCCTGGCCACTTATACTTACTTCATCAATTTCTGAAGGTGGAGAGATGGATCAGTTGACTGTTGAAGTCAGATGGTCACATCTAGATGGTCTAAAGGATTTTGTTTCTGAGTCAAGTCTGTTCAGGTATACTGCTATATTGTCGTAAACAAATATTCTTGGATTTAAAATTTTTCTGATCACTATAGTGAACTGGCTAACTGACGGTTAATTTATGACTGTTCATAATGTCCAACTGCATGTTTTTTTTAATTTGGTTAATGATTATTATAGTATAGCTTCAGAAATTCGTGTGAACTAAGTACTTCCTATTATGTTGAATGCTCCTGGAGTATCCCATTATTTCAATGAGTTATAAAGAATTTAGCAGAAGACTAGTAAGGCAATGTCTATCAACAGATTGAATGTATCATATGGGTAGAGATTTTGTTACAAGTAAAAAACTGATTACCTGGATTATGACATTGCTTGTAAGTTAATCAGTAAGCAGTTACCAACATACGAGTCACATATGGCTCTCTTGAATTCACTCCTAGTATGTTTGTAACACTGTATAGATAAACTCAAAAAACAGCAAGCATCCACATGACAATGAAAATCATGTCTTTTCAAATTCGTAGGGAAAGTTTTACAAAAATGCTCCTAAGGACCAACTGTTCGTTGACTGCACTTACTATTCCATAGTTTAACAAACCTATATCTATATCAGTGATCAACTAGTATCTATGTATGTATATAGTTTAAGCAGATTTCGTTTCCTAAGAATATTTCACATTATAGTACAAACATTATAAGAATCTTCAAAGGCAATAATACAAAGACAGGGTTGTTTAAACTATGTTTCCCATTATTCTATATTTATTGATAATATCAGGCTTCTTTTACTGGTTGCTTGCATTGTGCTGTCACCTCTACCATATAGTCAAACACTTGGATTGAATTTCTCTTGTCTACTACTCTCTAATCCCAGTGGACACATCTAAGAATTAACTAGTTGTTGCCAAGTTGTTCAAATATGGTGAAATGAATGTATGTAAATTTTATTCAAATATATTTTAATGTGGTTGAATAAATTACTAACTGTTTGCTTAGCCACAGGCTTTAACATTGTACCTAAATGTACTGCATCTTTGTTTATACATGTCAAAATCCCTATTGCTTACATGTATAAGTTAATCATTAGCTATAGATACGAGTTAAAAGTGATAGTTTGCTAAAATAATCAGAAACGATAGAACAGGTGCTTTAAAGTCCTTATTTATCTGAATACTCACGAACTGTATAGAACAGATGCATAATCGATTTCAAGCCTATCAGTTTTCTGAACTGCAAGTCACATTTTATATAAATTATGATAAAAACTCTAGCAATCTGAATGTGACATTATTTGATTAATTGATTTTGTTGCCTAATTCTTTTCCTAGTTTTCTATTTCTTCATTATCTTATACAAAAACGATCACGGAATTAAAACATGGTCTATCTGTTTTTCAGACAGATCGTTTCTTCCACTTGTTTACAACACCAATAAGGTGTTTACACATTACAAATTTATTCATTTATTAGGTTCAGTGTTGTTTGAAAAGACATTTGCACATTCAAGCCAATTTATGCAGCATTCATTTTAAATTAAGGTACAAGAAATGAGATGTTTGAACTACCTCATGTTGTATTATCTAGTTATTGTTGTAGATGAGACATTTGATTTTTATCACTAGATTTTAAGGGTTAGTAAAAATTCTTCTATTTTGACAGACACTCCTCAATAACACAAAATTATCAGTTTTTTTTGGCAACATCTCCCAACTCAAATAATTTTACATAATTTAAATTATTAACAGTGTTTGTATCAATCAATTCATGACATGAATTGACAGTTTGACCAGTCCTGGGAAATGTAACTAACAGTATCTCTCAGAGTGCAACCAAAAAACTATTCATCTGTCTTTTTTGGACTAATATACCCTGATGATCAAAACAGTATTAAAATTGAATAAAATTCTTAATTTACTGAGGTTTTTTTCTTTAAAATACTGATAAACTATGCCTTAGTCTTTTGCTTGTTTCCTCTGCTGTCTCATTGACACATTAGTTAAACACATCCATATAGTGGAAGCAACATTCATAATGATAACAGTTTTTCACCTGAGTAGTTTAGAAATAAAATAGAAATAGGACAGTGGATTTGATTTCCTAAATGTTAATTTAATTTATTCATTTTTTTCTATAATAGAAAATCATTTTGAGCAAACAAATGGCAGCACTGCTACAACATAGATTAAAAACACTATATTCATCCAATTGTGCAATACATCATCATACAAAACTTCTAGATAACAATAATAATTCAGTTTATTTATGACGTTAGATGCTGAGTGGTAAATAAATGTAAAGCCTGTAATATGTAGCTTTTATGAGATTATTTTCTTGTCAGTAAACAAGAGAATATTTATGGTCATTTTATCCCTATCAACTTATTCATTATTATTTCATTATTTCTAGTGATCACTTATGTAATGTGAGGGAAGAGATTTTAAAATCGTTTTGTGTATAGAAAAGAATATCATTCTACTTAACCTTCAGTGCTTATCGGACTCCAGTGAACGTAGTGAATCAATAGAAACCTATTTGATATTTCATTATCAAGCTAATCATGTGAATTCACAGAATTCAAATAGTATTGGGATCGTAGTGTTAGCCAGGTCATAGAGATTAATTATTATACTAAATCTTTCACTTTTGAACTCAGCTTGAGTTTCATCATGGTATCTCAACTTTATGATTTTCTCTTTGAGGATCTAATCAGTACCATTTCGAAAATTACTTAAAATTTAATTGAAATATTCATCGAACTGAAAAGCTTTATAGTCCTGAGTAGTATTAAAAGAATGTAAATCATTGTGTGTTTTAACAAGAGTATGACGAACTCCACCAAACTCCTAGTAACTCAAAGGGTTCCATCTACTTATCTGACTAACAAATCATAAGATAACAAGTATTCAAATTGCTTTCCTGTACACCTCAGTTTTTGCAAGCTTGAGATTATGCAACATACAGTCAGTTATTTTGCTAGTTCATATCAAGGACTAATCTTATTTAGACAGCAACTGAAAACAAGGAAGCAAAGTTCCCGTGTACTAATTATTTTAGTGATGTAATTATAAACGTATATGTCCAAAAGTGCCTTCTCTGTAGTCAACAAATATTGAATATCGATGGACACGAAAGTAGCCAAACATGTTACGTCCAGCAAGTGAAATACATAACTCATATAGAGTAAAACTGAACCTGGGGTGAGAGTTAAATTATTACGAATCAAGTATTTTATAACATTTAGTTGAAATAAGAATACTTCGCGAAATCGCGCTTAGAAAGACACAATACTAGTCAGTGGAATACGTAAAACCTCTTTCAGTTATTTTTTTGATATGGCGTGAACATAACGCAATGTTGCTTGCAAATATTCAGTCTCCTTCCTGACTTAATTAACTTAATATACCACAACTTCTTGTCCAAATTACAGAAGAGGTATTTTCTAGCGAGTTACAAGTAAGCACCGTATTACTATTCATTTAAGTAGTATATGGATGAGCCACTGGTTGGACTTATGCCAACAATTCCTGTAACGATTACATGGATATTTGACACCAATACCCTTAGCTTCTTGTTCAAAATACTTACATCAGAAAAGACTATATACTGAGACTGGAACACAGGCTATCTATCTGAATTGTGAAACCGGTAATTTCTCACTTATCTCTCTTTTCAACATTGGTGATATTTTATTTAATGTCTTTTGAGTAAAGCTATTCTTTTTTCATGATCAAGATAATGGCTGACTATCTGTCAATGAAATTTGCTTTGTTGGTTTTAACTTTTTCTCAAATAATATTTTAAAAATTGATTAAACCAATAGAGAAGGTTTAGAAAGTTTGACTTTCTTCTTTATTCTAACTCTAAAATTCTTTTTTATTTCAAAATTTTATCTCTACTGAACGGCAAAATACTGTTTTTTTAGGTGTATTCCCTTTATTGCTCGCTAAGTTAGGTAGATTGTTTACTTAACTACTTGTGCATGTTACCCAACGCGAAATAGTATAGACCGTCCACCAGTATTCTCCATCCAGCTCTGTCGTGAGCAATCCTTTCCGTTTCTTGCCAGTCGCTATTCATCCCTTTCATGTCTGCTTCCAACTCCCGACACAGTGTGTTCTTCGGCTTTCTTCGTTTCCGTTTCTCCTCAGGATTTCAAGTTAGCGCTTACCTCATGATGCAGTTCGGTGATTTCCATAATATATGTTCTATCCACTTCCAACGTCTTTTCCTGATTTCCTCCTCAGCTGGAATATGGTTTATCCCCTCCCACAGTACGCTGTTGCTGATAGTACTCGGTCAACGGACATTCAGTATCTTACGTGAACATCTGTTTATAAATCTTTGTACATTTTTGATGGTTGTTGTAGTTCTCCAAGTTTCAGCTCCGTCCAATGGAACTGTCTTGACGTTCGTAATGGAAATTCTGACTTTGATGTTGGTTGACAGTTGTTTTGAATTCCATATGTTCTTCAACTATATGATAGGTAAATACTTAAAAAATTTATAATGGCCCCTATAAGACTACAGAAAGGGGTGTTTCATTGGATGTTTTCTCGGTTGTCACAAGATTTCTGGATGTGATTGGAAAGTATAAACTGTTAACATAGCCGTCTGCACTACACAAATAGAAGTCCCTGCAACACAATAAGCCGCTAACGTGTCCGTTTGCTTTAGTTTCTTCAGCAATCTTGTCGTGCAATCTTTGAAAAATCTCTTTTTTCCCGTAGGGTTTACAGGCTTCTCCTGCTTATTTTAACCGAACTGACTAATAGACTATTATCAAATGATCGTGAATATAATGTGAAAGTTGATTTTTCAGATTTCAGTGGTTCTCTAACAGCTCTGATTTAACTGATTTATATTAATGATCTTTAGTTTATTTATTATGTCAATCATTTCGTTATTTTGTGTTTCAGATGTCCAAAAGATTTTATCCAATTCTATGATGGTTTTCAAATAGACAATACCAGTATAAGTCGAAATTCTATCGGCCAAAGAATATGTGATAATTCGAATAATATTCATATCGTATCTACGGGAGCAAGTTTAGTGATACTATTCGTTACTGGTCAAATTCAGTTGCTAAATTATGTAAATAATAAAAGAGATAATGTAATAATGAATGCATTGAGTACAAGACGTCGAGGTTTTCGATTACGTTATACATTTACTAAAAGGTTATTGCCTGTCATTGAAGCACCTGGAGGCGAGCACGTCCGTGGAACAGGTAAACTCAGTATCAAACCTTGTGAATAACAATACATTTACTAAACGATAATAATTCTTATGTGTAAGTTTAATCACCCGATATAATGTATCACGTCCAACCTAGTCAAACTGTATCAGTGAACAAACCCAGATTTTCAGTTAGTAATAAAATGTAAATAGGCCAATAATATGGTAAGATAGGTTAGTTGAAACAAAATTAGGCTACTGAAATAATTAATATTTAGAGCTGGTTTTGATAAAGCGTAGATATACGTACCTCACTAGTTTCATGGTCCAGTTTGGATTACTCGCTATCAATTTGTAATAACGTCGAAACTGCTTCTGGTAGTTCTACCGTTAAATGTGTCACTAGAACTGATAAATATTGTTGCCGATTCTTATTCAGATTCAAGCCAACAACAGTTTGATTATCATATCAAATAAAATATTAATCCATCATAATTTGTTCGTACTTCTCATGTATAAGCTTTTTGTCAAATAAGCTTTCGGTGTTTAACTTAAAGGTGTATGTTAAATTTTCCGAAATGTCAATTTCGACACCTTACCGAATTTCATTTTAATGTTAAAAATTAATTTTTTCAGAATGTGATTATGTGATAAAAAGTCAAGGTTCCATTGAAAAACAGTTTGAATCACCCACAATGCGCAATAATTTCGTATTAACTCCAGATAGAGTATGCAATTTCATATTTATCGGAGAACGATTTGAACAATACAGCGAAAGCGTATCAATTGGATTTGAACGAATCGAATTACCTAAGTCAAGTGAAGGAAGTCAAATGTAGGCGATTGTATTCATATTTTTGTATGATCAATATTTTTTATGTGGTAATTGTAATTACTTTTTATTGATATTATGATAGATTTGGTGAGACTATAATTTATGGACGACCTTTGAGCGACGCTAGATTGACCTTGAGAGTGTCCACCTAATAACTGGAACTAAATAAGGGTTATAAACCTGTTTGAGGAATTAGAATTATGATTTACCGTTGATGGTTAGGGTTAGGAATTATATTTAGGAGTTTCATCACGAACTGACATCACTTATAAAGCCAAAATTCTATTTAGCTAAGTGGATGAATAGATTTCGCGCCAAAATCTAAGACGTTTAATCCCAAATCTCATCGGTTCGTCCATAAATTATAGTCTCGCCATAGATTTTTTTATTACAATGTGAAACTGTTGATATTCACCTTTCTTTTATAAATAAAAATATAATTCTGTAAGACCAAAATTACAATAATGCGAATACACAAGTAGCTAACATGTTTCGACCATTGGAAGTTCAATCTGTATGATTGTATAAAATGCTGATGAATTTCCATCGTAAAAACTACCGACTAGGGTCCTTAATCTCTATATTTTGCGCCTATAAATATACCACTATCATACTGATTTTGATGCAACGATTTGAACTCACTTTTAAGTTGCATGGTAATCTGTAAACTTTACGAAAGTGATCATTTTATTCATAATTTATACCTCACACTAATTATAGAAAAGTCTACCATGTAATTTAAAAACTTCGCAGATTATGATCAGTTCAGAGGTATAGGTTGTTAAATTGGGTCTTTTTTTGTGACTTTAGACAATGACGCTTAAAGAGGCCAGAATAATGTTTACAGTGAGGACATTTGACACTTAATGTGTATTGCTAGAAAATATAAAACAACTCTACCAATAATTGAGTCAATTTGTATTGTAGGCCTTCAATTTAAATCCTCGTACCAAAAACGAATGTACCAAAAATCGTAAAAGTGTAGAACGAACTCAATAAGTTCACTTTCTTACACCTTGTCTACCCTTCATCTGTAAATATTTTACTTTAAGATGCTTTGCTTTCTTTAATTGTTTCTAAAACTATCCAGAAGCCGCACAGTTTATCATAGATGATGTGACTATTTTTAGATAGAAAATGGGATAAAAAGATGAATAACTAAAAGTTAACGCAAATTTCTTAAAGATATTTTACACTAGGAAACCGAATTCACTCATGTTTGATACAATGGTAAAGTCTCAGTCTATCTTTACTTGACTAAACTAAGAATGAAAGACTAAGTAATAAATGAAGTGACCTGTTAATAATAAATCTAATTGTTACGGTGTTTCTATGTTTCAAATTAACTTAGGGAGCATTTATTAATATTTTGGTCAGTATTTACTGGATCCTGGCTAATTGGATAATTTACTACTTACAGCTATAGTTCAGAAATCCAAAGCACCATTTCTACATCGAATATTACCATTGATCAATAAATCGACTAAATTTGCTAGCCTAATCTTTACTCCTGTCACATCATCGAAACATCACAGAATATGCTTTTCAGTTTCGCCTTATATGGTGCGACTTGTCTCTTCTAACTATTATATTTTTAATAGCCCAAATAGCCTAATTTTCCAGAACAAATCGTAAACCTGATCAGTATTACATAATACACAATACGAACTAGATAATACTAAGTTATTCACAACTTCGAGACTGCTTAATGAAAAATTCTCACTTTTACAGAAGGCTAGTCTTAGCTTGAGCAATTTACGGTAGCACTGAATTATACAAGTTTCACTCCCAAAAATAGTATCAGAAGCCTCAAGATAATTCACATTGCAATCTTGTATAAAATCTAGGTTTGAAGATCACTTCTAACTATCTAACATCAATTTAATCATTTGTGAATTAGATCAAAGTAAATGTTTCCAGATTTTCAATGGTAGTCTAACATCGATCGATTCACGATCTTAATCTAAAACACATAACCCATATAAATTTGCAGCCGATTAAAATAGTTTAGTTTTGTTGGTGAATGAAACACAATAAACCAGTCCTATTAGCTTGGCTGATTGATTCCATAACATAAATTTTCTAGTTAAAAAATTATAGCGTAGATATTTCAGCGGTTGTGTTGTGAGATTGCATTGGAAATTCGGTTTTTAATGATCCATACTACCGACAATTGCTAATAAATGCAAAATCTAGAACCATAAGTGCTGACTTGTTTTTTCTTCACTCATCTAACACAATAAAATAATTTGATAACCGAATACAGGCTTGTGTAATGTTCTGGCTTTGAACTACACTTATTTTATGATGACGGAATATACTAATCAGTCTGTTAACTCGAAACTGCCAATCCAAAACCTATCACCATTATATTATTTGTATACCACCTTTCGGCGAAATCCATTTAAAGGACAGATTTTCTAAATCCCATCATTTTAGGGATATTATTGTTTAGTGGTCTTGATAAATTACAAATCAGCTCAAGTTGAAAGTGTGAATTTAAACTCACGAACTAAATGACAGGCTTTTAGACAGGGTTATTAGTTTGTTGATGTTGTAATTTGGATTAAATTACTATTTAATAATCCGGTTTTCAGCGGCTTTTTAATTGTTGTCCATCCATCATTAGATTTGTTCTGATGTTACTATCGGTAATAATAAGTTTGAACAAACTTACTATAAATAAATACTTTTTTGATTAAATATTTTTGTACGAGTGAAGTAAACCTAAGTAATATCTGTAAGAGCATTATACTTATCGACTTTAATTAAACTAAATTATATATATATATCCTACCAATTTAAACTAAATAGGGAAAACTTTTCTAGATTAAATAAACCATGAAACTGCAACTTATAATGTATAGAAACTTTAGTACGTTTTCAGACAAATTAATACTAAAGGGTTCAATGTTGTTGATTATTGTATTTATTTTGAAGATTCCATCTAACTAACGTTACTCAATCAACATTTTGAATTAGCAACAGCCTGTAAAATTCTGCATTATAAAAAAAGTATTAAAATCTAGTGAACAGTTAGCTGTCATTGCACAACCCGTAGAGAATGGGACAATTATCCAGAAAACATTTGAATCGTGTTACAGTATAGATTTTCAGACAATCACAGTTACCCAAATCACTGGGTGTGCTTTCCAAACCCGTCACCTTACTGATTGCTAATTTTTATATTCTTTTAATTTTTTCGCAACAAACGTTTTACTGGACAATGAAGGCGGATATACTTTATCAATATTATTTTTGTAGTATCAAGTATCGACTGCAATAAATAATGGGAACTATGCATTTACAAATTTTAGTCTGAGTTCAGAAACTCTATACATTCATTGACTAACCGTCAATCAACCAAAATTTAAAAAAACCCAGTCTTTTTCACCCTAGCCCGGAATTGATATATGGATTTTGAGATCATTATTCATCTTCACTAGTCAATCTTCATAATGTAACTTGATATTTTCGGCAGCTTGTTATGACTTAGGCATAAGAGTTGGCACTAATATCGTTGCTTCCTAGCTTCCTTTGTTTTCACTGTTGGGACCAATTCTCTCATATAAATGTTTCCTACTTAATCAGCAGTTAGGTTATTTTTAATCGATTTTCCTAATATTTTGATTATACGTAATTATCTAAAACATTATTTGACTTAAGAATATTTCGATTCATATTACTGGTATTCTCCCCCCTAGTATGAAGCAAAAATACATCTGGTTTCTTTTAAATGCCTCTAAACTTTCATAACCTAATTTAGTTACAATACTTGAAACTTGAACGAAATATAACAAGGACAGGTCTCGAGTTCTGTGTTTTCTTCTGGCTGATTACATGTCCAATATTTATTTCTGAATTATGTTTTTGTACTGAAAATCAGAATTTTGTGCTAGTCTTTTTATAATTTTGTGTAAAATTTATTTTTGAATGAAAATCAGCAAGCAGACAGTCTCTTAAGCTTGTTTAGAATGACTCATTCGTTTACATTGTCAATATTGTCCGTAAGTTTGAGCTCATTGACAGATTGATGTAGGTTATGGAGGAATTTAATTTACTGAAACGTTCAGGAAGGAATAAGACGCTTACTAATTGTCGTTACTTGTCACTAATACTTCAAACAATGAGCTCAGTTCTAAATAAATTAATTTATGAAATACCACGAGAATTTATATGATATGATTTTCAGCTAATTAAAATGGTTGTAGATCCTAGTTCAGTGTTGCTATTGATTATATGTCACAGAAACTAGTAAAAGCACTACAGCAGCCCATGGTTAATACGTTCATATTGACTTTTAATCGAAATAATAATCACTTACATGAGTTAGGTGACTAAAATGTTGGTTTTAAGTAATAGCTATAAGAATAATGAAATATCGGCCGTAATGGTTATTGTATTGGAATATGAAAACTGCAGAAATCGGATCCTCTAAAGACAAGTAATAGAGTAAAGTTAAAAATCATATTCATGGATTCACATGATTCAAATGAAATGAAAATTTCAGGAATACAAATATCCTATTTCGATAACATCCAGCTTTTGAAATAGAACTCCATCAGATAATGAACAAATAGAGACAGTTTTTTTTATTTATCAGAAGAATCCTGGCTATCAGTTCGGCTTCTGTGGTATATGTTGTTTCATTTGTAAGTTTTTTGTATGTTTTGAAGTTTTGAAAGCCCTGGAGTAAACAGTGGAAAGTGTTGGATAAAGTATTAGGCTTTACTGCAAAATGCCCTACCAAGATAATGGTCTAAAGATTTAGCTACCATAGCTATTATCTACTGGTAATAAATAAGTATGATATCCTGAATAACTTCAATGATGAGAAGTTTGTACCACTATATAGTGCAACACTATGGGTGGAAACTACAGATGTTTTTCTTTCATCAGGTTGATAGAATATAGTATTCTAATTATAGTATGAATTAGGAATTCCAGGATTAACGCAATTGAATTAAGAAGACACAGGCACAAACGAATGTATTGTATTTAGAATTCGAAATCGAGCATTCAACAAGTACAAAAGAATCATTAGTTAATTCAAACACCACATCCGCCACAGCTTAAATAGAAGTATAAGTGTTTGTAATCGGTTGTACGTCTTCTTGTTAAGTTCATCCTGAGTCTGTCCGACATTGTATAAGATAAAAACTTTGTAGTATCTGGAATTGTATACAACCAGCATGTCGGTTTTGTAATGAAATCATTAATATCTAGAATTCGAACCATAGATTTTTCAACACTATCCCCCCCCCACGAAATAATGTTGGATCTTTATACTCCCAAGTTATGAATAATGTGGCTTCATTTAAAACATATATCTCACATTGTTTAGAGTAAACATTAGAACTGTTTTTGTGATAAGAGTAAACAGCAGTTGATATGAAATCATCCGAAATATAATAAAACTCGAGGTCACTTAGTACTCGTGCTTCGCATTGGGCAGGTTTTTCACGAAGATCAAATACATTATGAGGATAGGTAATATATGATATGACATCAGGATTTGATTCTTCTGAAATATTCTCATGAAATTCATCAGGACTGTCATTGCAGAGCGTAGGATCGTTAGAAAAATCAGCATCTATCCAAACCACATCAGGTTTTCGATCATGATTAGGTTCATTTAACATATTTTCCTCAGAATTGCAAGTAATTTCATTAGAAATATGTGAATCATTAGGAAAAGTCATACTTGGTACAATAGCATGAGAATTCTGATAAATCGGTTGATTAGGAAATGTTGTCTCACAAGAATTCTGGATTTCATTTAACTCTGAACTGCCATATGACTCTGCACTGTCTTTTGAAATCGTTGATAAAGATAAATGATCATCATGAATACTCGACTCAGTAGAATCAGAATTACAAGACTTAATATTAATTGCAGTAAGATGAACATTAGCATTACAAACTGACTGAACTTGTCCAATATCACGACATTTGAAGCATTTAGAATTATGAAATTTACATGAATTAGAAGAGTGGAACTTGCAACAGGACAAACACTGACCAAACTTGTCCCCATCCTCGTGAACTGCATCCAAATTCAATGAATTGTCTGCATAACCTTGAGTATGCACTAGGTTGAGATGACGTAGTAATGTAGTGGACTTTTTTATATCCTCATGAATCATTTTACGAAATCTTCCTCCTTTACGACATTTGAAATTTGTATACTGAGCATAGTCTAGCAGTAGATCCTTGAGAGCTGTATAAGAAAGCGAAATGGGTTTTTCCGGCATAGCCAGAGTTCTTAATAAGCTGTATGCTTCTTTTCCAATGAATGTGAGGAAGTGTGCCACAATATTAACATCCTCATCATCTTCCTTGGTCATAGCCCAGATTTCGAACCTTTCAAAGTAATCTTCAAAAGCTTCTGAAGTTGAATGAATATCTAACTTTTCCATTGCAGGCTCCATCGCGACGCCAATATAGTATTCTACTTATAGTATGAATTAGGAATTCCAGGATTAACGCAATTGAATTAAGAAGACACAGGCACAAACGAATGTATTGTATTTAGAATTCGAAATCGAGCATTCAACAAGTACAAAAGAATCATTAGTTAATTCAAACACCACATAGAAGCAAGTAAGAATGATGAATAAGAAGCTAATTAAATTTAAAAATTATTGCTGTGGTGAAAAACAACAACGAAGATTTTCATTATGCTTGCCGCAGTTTGCATAGTTTTGTTTTTCTATGCTTTAGAAATTTATCCGAAAAATAAGATATATATTGAATTTCTAGTTAGGTTTTACAGTGCCATGATGTTCACTTTAAAAAAAATAGATATTTGATATTACTGAACATTAATTTATGCAATTTGAAATTGAATCTCCCTCCCTAAAATGAATTTAATTTATGCTTCGAAGCGAAATTAAACTAAAAATAACCATTATTTATGTTGGACGTTTGTGGACAATCAGTAGAAAGTAATACCTCAAGTATATTTAACACATATTAGTGTCTATCAGAAATAAGTGGGAAATTTATTTCATTAACGACTCGTATTAGAGTGGTCTAAAACTCCACTACTTAGATTATTAGGGGTTTGTTTGAAGAGTAAGTCGAAGTACAATATTTTATCTAAATGATATTTTTAAATTCTAATGAACTTAGCTATTTGTGAAGACATTTTTCAAAGTGTACGAAAATCTCTAGCCTTACATTTCTAGATTATATATCACCATGAAACAAAATATCGCTACTTCAAAATTTTGATTTAACATTATTACCGTATAGGATTAACACTCTGAACTCCACATAGTATAACTTCATAATGGTATATACAACTTCATTTTCGTGATTACGTTTACAGATGTGATCGTGGACACATGGCAATTTATGGTAGTAGATCATTACCTGGTGAACAAATTAACAAACCAACCTATGAATATTCTCATGAAATACTTCAATCTAATAAAGAACCCGATCATGTGTTTTGTGATCGATCAAATGAACTAGAATCGCTCAAAATCGGATCAGGTTTTCAACATCATGATTATCCAATAGTTGGACGACACAATGTCTTACTGGTGAGATTTAATTCAACGGGAGCCGACTTACCCGGTTTAAATATGAAGTTTATTCTAAGTTATAGGTTTAGAAAGGGTATGTTAATTTTTTATTATTATTCTTGAGCGATTAAACTAGATTTCATATAAATTAAAAGTTCGAAATATGACACCACATCCCAGTTATTTTTCTGTATAATTTGTAGGGTTATTGAGGGAAGAAAAACTATTTATACTGTAGTCATGTCCTTACTGTTGACCTAACTTATTTGACGGACTATGATGCTGGGTAAAACAGTGTTTGATTCATATGTTGACTGGTTACAAATTAAAGCTATTTCTTACACTCTGAATGTGTTGGTGTTGATTAATTTTTCTAGCATGAAAAACATAAAATCATCATATGGCGAAGCAAGTGGCATAAATTCGTACCATTTTACATTTCACTTAAAACGCATCCGGGAATCTAATGGATCATACACTACCCTGAGTACTACCAAACAGACTATTCAACACAATCGGTCTGGTGATACAGTTCATTGAAAATATAAATGATCCACTAGTAGAAAACTTTACTCCCCATTAATATTGCGTAAGATCATAAAGTGAATTATAGATGAGATTCAGTGAATAATCATTAATCATTCACGAGTGGTTGAAGTTATGTGATATTCAAATTAAATACTCCCATGAGCAATTTTTGTGTGGAAAGTACTATTGTAGATGTTAACTTTCATTACAGTCGTATTATTCTTTAAAAAAAACAGTTACTGAGTAGTGAAACCACTTAATTGTTACGTTTACACAGGTAAGACCTGAGCTGAAGCAACCAGTAGACAAGAGCTTGTAAAATCCTCTTTTATAGAACACAATTTTTAAAAATACTAACACCTATATATAGAAGTAATTTCAAATAAATATATTTTTATGAGTGTAACAAACTGAACTATATCGCCACCGTATTTCAACTAGAGGCCTAGTAGTTGCTTGTCTGAGGTAATATAAACTTGAAGCACGAGACTTAACTAGTAGTCAGATCTTACTTTGTGCATTATCCACTAGTCATTAGTCTGGTTATCAAATGAATAATAAAGTATTTTCTTTATTTCCTTGAAAAAGAAATCTGCACAGGTTCTTATTCCTGCGTGTTAGTAATATGTAACTAGCTATGGAGTTGACTATTAAGTGAATGGTAAGCAATATTTGAACGGTTGTTATGACTTCTATTTCAATTGCCAAATGTTTAAACAGACTATTTCAAATCAGTTAGTTTCAAGTTAGTCACGACTTGTCTTCTAATAACCAGCTGAATAAGTTGAATGGTAATCTTCAAGTCGTTGACGACTATAACTACAAAATACTAACCATTTCATTGAATAGCGGATTAAGTCAACCCAGTATGATCTACTCTTTATTTTCTAGATAAATACATGGTATTGAGTAGAGTTTTTTAATATTTTTATTCACAATAAACATTTTGAATATCATCAAATTCATTTGTTGGTCGTTGTTCTTTAAATTCCGTTACCTATCAAAGCTAAGAGGAGTTAGCTTTAGACAGGGCCTTAGTTTCTTAGATCATAAAAATAAAAATCTTGTCAATGTGTGCCAAGCTTGAAGAAGTATGAATATGAAACCGTTGATAAATCTTCATAACTCATATATTCCTCTAATGATTGTTGTATATCAAACTACCTTAAGATTTTTAGACAAGAAAAGGACTCGACAGATGCAATAACTGTACAATGATTAGTAGGAATCTTGGACAAAACAGTCCTAAACAAAAATAGAACAAAGTACAGTGCTATACGGTTTTCGATAGTTTTCAAGCTAATGTTCTTTCGTGATAAGAAATGTGTTTGAGCTTACACCACATTACTCACAATTATCAGGCTACATTTTCAGATCCCACTCCACTTCTGTTTAAGTATTCAGGTAATAATCTAAACCTTTATATAAAGTTTGATGCAAAGAAGAGTAAATAAACCTTCATTCGACAAATAATCTATAATAATATAATTGGATGTATGATTAGAATTACTTAAGAGTTGTTCAAGGTCTTTTAGTCCATCTAATCTGAGTATGAAAAGTGTATTGAAGTCGATTCATATATTACAAAATACTTTAGAAAATACATCCCTATTTGGTTTTTAAAACAGACTGAGTCGAACCCTTGTGCGTGTTGCAAAGAATAAGCCATCTAGTGGACAAATAACTTCTTTGTTGTATATTGGTACAATAAAAAAGTATGAGGGAGCAATGCATACATCACTTGTAAGTGTTGTCATCAAAGTTTTGTCATTACGATAATTCCCACGCATCTTTTAGATTAAAATTTATTCGTAGGTTAGACATAGATATAAGTGAATAAAAGTGTTGACATCTAAACTTCAAAGAACTTTGTGGCCTCTTTATTCGGTTTAGAGCTATTAAAAATCTGACGGAATTCCTCTGAATACACCACAAATTTACTTAGAATCAAAAATCAGAATATCCATTTGAATTTAGAACCAGTCTAAGACTTTTGATGCCTGCAGTTTGAACAAAGTATCAAAAAATCTTATATAGATGAACAGTAAGTTATAGATAACAGTCCACTGTTCATACGTAACTCGTTTCGACAAAGGAATCTAAGACGTTTCAAGGAGTACCTTGATTATGAACACTGTAATGTCAAAGCTGGAATATATTTTGATGATTCGTCTTAACAGAGATTGTTTTATCCGTGAAATACTAATATCTTGTTTTACACTGTGTAAAATCAGGTTACTGTTTATGTACCTTAAAGCTTTAACATTTCTCCTCACAGATTCATCACTTAATCACCCATAACTTCTATTCAAGACTATATTCTATGTGGGAAAGTTATACAAGGACATTGTCAACTTCTAGCTAACCCCAATCTGTTTCATCGAAAGAGAATGGAAATGGAAAGATTCCGTTAATTACAAAATCTGAAAATAAAGTTATTTATTAATAATAATAAATATTTTAAAAATAGACTATGCTGAATCTGTAGTTTATGACTATGATTATCCCTACTTTAAGTTCATATAGCCTGACGATTTAGTTTACTTATGCTGACAAAAAATAAATGAAATTTATCTTTATGTGCACGAATCATTAAGGTTCGGTTGCTTTTCACCAACCCATACAGACGAATACAAATAAAGTTAGTGGCTTGATAAACTAATAAAAAAACCTTAACATCATAATATGCAAAATAAAGAAATAAACCAATCGGATATCTATATCTTTCAGGATTCTTATGTCAAAGTAATCAATCCCTTTCCTAAATTTTTATAGATCAACAAGAAGACGGAGTTGATCTAAAAGATGTGATGTATTTACGCTAGACATTTAGAACAATCTAAACACAGACACTTGTCAAGGCATTTTATCTGAAAATTAATAAAGGTCAATAAATGAATGTTCAACCAAACAAAGTAATAATTATGATCAGAATGGGGTTTGTGGAGACTGTAGTAATTTTAATAGTTGAATTGATGAATCGATGTAAAGTAGACCACCATTGAAAATGTGGCAACACTGGGTGGTCATTTCGTCCTAGTATTGGACTCCTCGGCAGTGTTCATCCACGGTCCCGCACGCGGGATCTCAGTCAAAAACTTAACAATCTCCACAACCCCATACTGATAATTACCATGTGCTCACTAATTACTAGCTTCGTGAAGGGAATTCTCGGAGTTCTAGTGAGAAACCATGACCAGTGGAGTTCAGTCTGTGTCGGGTGGAGACAGGTATCTACCTCAGACAATGGAAGAATGGTTGCTTAGTCATTCATAGATTAGTTGAAGTTAGACATTAACACTGTTGGATGCCGGCTCAGTGGTCTAGAAGTTAAACGTTTGCGTGCGAACCGAAGGTTTTGGGTCCGAATCTGGTGTACGGGATCATGAACACGCACTACTGAGAAGTTCCATACTAGAACGAAATGGCCGTTCACTGCTTCCAGGTTTTCAATGGTATTCTACTTTAGATCAACTCATCAAGTCGACCGTCAATATTTTGAAATCACCAATAATAACTGTAACTCAAATTAAAATGCTTGAATCATGTTTGTTAACTCTTTCGTGAATTCTTAATTTTTATAATCAAGGAATACAATAGTTCTATACAAGTTAATTTAATATAAGAATATAAATGAGGATCCAATGTCTCTAACATTCACGTTTAGTTTTATTCAATGTACATTCCTTTATTTTTATTGCTTTATGAAATGATTTTCTGGTTTTAGACTTACTGATAGTTTTCCAAACCCACTCTTGTTACTACAAACTGTAACAAAATACTTTTTCTTGGAATAAAGTAACCGTAAATTTAGATAATTACTTTTGAAGAATTAATACTTGTAAATGGTTGAGAAAGAAAATCAATATTGTATGGAAACAAACCTTAGACCATAAAATTACCTTAGGATTACCAGGGTAAATTCAAGGTTATGAGAAATTGTTTCTGTACTCACAAGTGATCTGTGAATTTGAGAATAGTCAAGGCTTCTCTAAACCTAAGAATTCGTCCTTGGCGATTCCCATGCAAGGTTTTAAAAGTTGTATTGGTGTCAGTTCTATACCCCGTTTCAATTATGTGCTTTGCTACCAATGAACGTAGTTTTCTACTTCCCACGCTAATCGGAATATTTGACTGATTTAACTTATTTTCTCCGTTAATGATCACGATACGATTAAATTCCACCATGAAACAAACGTTTGTTACTATGGCCTACAGGATAATCAATATAGAATGAATGAGACAAATCGAGTCATCGTGTCGATGCATTTATTTAGTAGTAATGACTACACAGAATGGGTGTTATTGTTTGACTTCTATTCCGTTGTCAACTAATGTAGATGTTATGGGAATTAGAAAATGAACTAGTTTATAAATAACCTACTCAATTTGTCTGAGTGATAGAATATTTCTTGACCATACATATTTTAACTGAGACTAGGTATCCAGAAATTCATATTTGGAGGTAAAGGAAAATCTCCCATGGACTCAGAATATATCCGAGGTTTTTCCGTAATAGCACTCTAGTGCTAAGATGTGAGATTTGACTATGAATTTAACCTTGAGTTCATCCACCCTAATTTATTTAGATTTCAATCTTACTGAATCTATTTTAGTGAGAATTTGGTCAGATGTAGCACATACAGTTGCGTGCCTCACGTTAACACAACTGTTGATAGGCAGATAGAATGGAAACTGGTAGTACTTTGAAAACATTGACAAACGAAAGTTCAATTTCATCACATTTTTGAACATTTGGTTTCTTTAAAACGGTAGTTTCTGGAAATTATCAATAAGATTATAGATAAGACTATGGTAGGGGTGTGATTTGCTTGTAAACAGGATTCGATTTGGATTATTATGATTACTATACGCTACTGGTTTGGTATAACCTTTTCATGAAATCCAATAATTATGTCCATAAGTACCGAGAAAAAATGTTGCATCTGACATAGACTAACAGAAATGCTAGACTTAGTGATGCTTTTTGGTAACTCCGTACACTCTATGAGAGGTAGCGAAAAGCCTCAGTCGTGAGAAAACAAATTATGGAAAGACCTCTAATAAGAAAGAATTTGATTAGATTGATTTGATCAAATTTGAGTATAGTAGTGGAAACTTATCTATAACTTGAGTAGAGAGAAAAGTTTGAGAAACACTATGCAAATGTGCCTTGTGATTGATTTACTATGATATTATACACTGGGACGACTGGAGTCATACATAACTCAGGTCATAGTGATGACACTATATTTGATGAAATGTTAAGACATTTTACTGACGATTTTCTCAAATGAACTTATCGTACTACCAACTGTAATCTAATGCGACCGAGTCTACTTAGCTCGTTATCATTAAAAAATTTTAACTATTTAAAGAGGATTTCATTTATATGACTGTAAATATTTGTAGCTTAGGTCACTGAAGTTCTAATGACAATAGACATTTTAGTCACTAAGACTGAAAACGATAATTGCTTTAATATAAAACATAATATGAATCAAAAGTCAGAGGACGTCTTTACATTTAACTGGTTATATATATACTAAATAGGTCATAAAACTATGCAGCTAAGATTAGATATCAATTATATAATTTTGAAGTGTTGACGCTAACTAATTTTGTAACAATGAGTAAATAGTTTAAAATCTTCAGCTAGAGGACTCGACTAGTTGAACATTTTCTGTGTGAAACACACTTGGTTTTTTCCTCCTATGGCTATAAAACGGTTTATCAACTGTTCTTATTGATTTGTAGACTTTGGTATTCCCGGTATAATGATTAATCCTGAAAGTTGTCAGTTTATGTATGTAAATCCATCGCAGTCGGCAACCTCTGTTTTTTCATTGTCATCATCTTCCGAACCGTCATCCTCATCTACCTCAAAAACAAATACAGTAAATTTCAAAGGATGGACCAACTCACCTCTCTACCCAAATAATTACCCACCTAATTCAGATTGTTTGTATATAATTACACCACAAAATGAATTTGCTGTAGAACAATCCATACGTCTGGTCTTTGAAACATTTGCAACCCAGTCGAAAGTATCAATTGAAAACCAATCAGAACTGGAAAAATTTCAAATTTGTTATCAGGTGAGGAATCTCCAGTTAACTAACTTACTTTGTTTGAAGTAGAATACGAAATTTCGCGTAAAAAAATTCAATGTTAAGATGGTTTATGGAAAAGTGATAGATCGTTATTAGGTTTTTGTAAAACTATTAGAACTACGACCAAAAAAAATGAAAACTTTCATTCTGTCTGGGAAATAGACGCTCACATCATTCACCATTTGACAGCTTCGCGTTGTCATTAATCCGTGTAAAATTGCTTCGTGTCTATTAGTAGATTGAAAAATGGTGGTAATATTGCTTACTTTGCAATATGAAGTACAGTGAAGTACTTTGCTTAAATATACTGTCATTTCTGCATAGCGCCTCTGGTATTCGGAAGAAATTTAGTCTCACAGAAATCAGAACTGATCAAGATTCAAAATGCTGGGTAATGATTAGCTCTTATACAGTCTATTCAAAAACATAACCACGATACTACACCCATGTCATGTTGATCAGATATGTCTGTTTCACAACGGACGGAATTGTCATAATTGTGTTTTGCTTGTTCTTTTAAGATAATTGTCAAGAATCGATTGTGTCTGGCATAGTTTTCCCCACATATTTATGTAAACAGAAGAAATATTTAAGTTCGAAGAACAATAGTCAGCGTTTTGGTGGTATTACTAAATTGTCTACCACACTGAATAACAAAGTGCTCTTAATGTGACCTGGTGACCCACAATTTCGTCTTACATGAATATGACTACTGTCACTACTCCAAAGTACCTAATGATGTAAAACCTCCGTCTAGCACTTTAAAATATCCTATCACTCTCATCATAGCTAAAAATATATTTCGTAGTCCCGATGGAACTAAAGCAAATCGTACAGAAGCATCAATGGACTGATGAATATCTCGTTTCATGATATTTCGATGTTTTATTATTACCCATCTGAATAATACGGTTGTGTTGTAGATATGATCTTCAAATAACAGAACTTTAAATTACAAACATAAAAGTGATAACCAAGATTTAGCAGGGAAAAATAGAGTAACTGTCCTTTTGTATAGATATTGCAGTGATATTTACAAAGCATTCTTTTGAACAGCTTACTTCAAGCCCTAGTTTAAATAAATAAATAAAATTAGACTATGAAACCAACCTAATGCAGTTACGATGTAATGTTCCTGGATTACTAGCTGTACAAAACAATCAGTATTTGATAAACTTCCACCACTCAAATGTAATATTTGATTCTGGTAAACAATTTTGATCAAATATAGACTTACTGAGCTGATTTTCACCATAGGATCTCAAAGCTCAACTACTAACAATGTTACGAATTTATTACAGTCAAATGATTGAGTAGTCAGAACTGTAATATATAAATGTTATTACTCTAGGTAATGCAAATGCATTACCATCAGATATGGAGACTTTTTATCGACAGTAGTCTTTAAAAATTCCCCACACTTTATATTATATCTTCATCTTTCTGCAATCACCTGTGAATATTCTCTGCTAACAGTTATTACTTTTGTAATTTGGTCGGGGCTTTTTAATATGCTATGAGTGGAATAAGATAGTCCTATTGATAGAGCCTTTTAACTGTGATACAGGGATAAGACTGATATCTATCGATTGTATCAATCATCTATATATATATATATATATATATATATATATATATATATATATATATATATATATATATATATATATATATATATATATATATATATATATATCCTTTTGGCCAATAAATGAAACTAGTTGTTGGTCATATTTCAGGGAAACTCCAACTATAATTACTTATTTTTAAATTAACCGTATTAATGACTTATATTTATTTCTTCTGATGAGATAAATAGACACCAACAGCTTTATAAAAGTAATCAAAATTACTTCCCTACTCCTGTAACTCCACGTGAAGGAGAATAGACCGTCCACCAGTATTTTCCATAATATATGTCTTATCCACTTCCAACGTCTTTTCCTGATTTCCTCCTCAGCTGGAATATGGTTTATCCCCTCCCACAGTACGCTGTTGCTGATAGTATTCGGTCAACGGACATTCAGTATCCTACGTGAACATCTGTTTATAAATCTTTGTACATTTTTGATGATGGTTGTTGTAGTTCCCCAAGTTTCAGCTCCGTCCAATGGAACTGTCTTGACGTTCGTAATGGAAATTCTGACTTTGATGTTGGTTGACAGTTGTTTTGAATTCCATATGTTCTTCAACCGTAGAAATGCGACCCTTCTTAGAATCAAGGAAGTTGATGTGTAGTGGGGAGCTTCATTCAACTGATTGCTCAACGATGATCCTTACTGTCGCGATTTGGTCTGTGCACGACTGATCCTTACGAAAACCAGCCTGTTGATCTGAACCTGTTGAATCTGTTGAAAACCTTTCCTTATAATGACAGTAGCGTGATGCCTTCGTAGTCCTCATATTTGTTCACATCTCCTTTCTTTAGTATCTTGATTAGATATCTTTCTTTCCAGTCTACTAATACTTGTTCCGCCTCCCAAATCTTCTTGAATAGAATGCGGAGCATACTTGCAGTTACTTCTATGTCCGACTTCATTGCTTCAGCTGGTATGTTTCCCGGTTCTGATGCTTTCCCTTTCTTGATTTGTCTGATGGTCATCCTGATTTCTTCGATCGTTGGTGGAGTGAGATCTATAGGAATGACTGTGTGTTGCTTTGATGTTTTGTGAATTCAGTGGCGCTAGCCTATTTAAGAGTTCCTCAAAGTGTTCTACTCATCCGTTCCTCTATTCTTGAACCTCAGTGATTGGCTTTCATTCTTTGTCATTGACCGGTCTATCTGGTTCGCTGTATTTCCTTACCAGTTTCTTCGTTGTGTCATATATTGGTCTGATATTTCCTTCGCTTTCAGCTTTTTCCACTGTTCATGCTAGGTCTTCCACGTATTTGTACTTGTCAGCTCTAATGATCCTCATCGCTTGCTTGTTTGTTTCTGTATATTCAGCTTGTACCTTGACTTTCTCTGTTCTTGTTCGGCTGTTGTTAATTGCTGCCTTCGTGTTCTTCCTTTCTTCAATATTGTCCAGGGTTCCCATGGAGATCCATTTCTTATGATGATGCTTCTTGTGGCCTAGCACCTCCTAACACGTTGGAGTTAGTATTGTTTTAATCCATCTCAAGTTGCCCTCCATAGTAGTTTCATCTTCTTGGAGTAGATCTTGTAAGGCTTGGAAACTGTTGTTGTTTAGAGCTTTCTTAAATCCGTTGAGTTTGTCAGCATCTCGAGAGAATGCTGTATTAAATCTTTTAAATGCTGTCTCTCCAGTCGTCCAGTGCTTCCTTAGCTTCAATTTCATCTTGGCAACCACCAGTCGGTAGTGATCTGCGGCTACGTCAGCTCTTCTCATGGTTCTCACGTCTTCCATAGACCTTCTGAATTTTTTAATGATCCAAATGTGAACGGTCTGATTCTGTGTAGTGTGATATGGTTCAGTCAGACACACGAAGCTTTGCGTATGTGTTTGTGTAGGAATATTGTGCAACCTATTACCATTTCGTTGAATGCACATAGATTTGCAAATCTCTCACCATTCTCGTTCCTTTCTCCCAGTCACTCCATGTCGTCCGATTACATCTTCATATCCGATATTGTTCATTCCAACTTTGACGTTTATGTCTCCCATCAGAATGGTGAGATCCTTTCTTGGGCACTTCGCTACGATTGATTGCAGCCTCTCATAGAACTGGTCTTTATCGTCATCGTTGCTATCATTGGTGGTTGTATAAATTGAATAAAATTCATTGTGATTCCCTCCTTCTTTATTTGCGGGATGCTTTGGTGATCATGGGTCCATAAGATTCCCATCCTACATGTGCTTTACGTGTTTCTTTATATAGCATCAAAGCAACTCCCTGAGTGTGTGGAGCATTTTCTTCCTCGTGACCAGAGTACAGCAGTATCTCTCCGGAATCTATCCTTTTCTGTCCATCTTGGGTCCAATGAGTTTCACTGATTCCGAGCACCACCAAATTGGGTCTCCTCATTTTTGTAGCTATTTGGTTGGTCCTCCAGTTCTCCCACATTGTCCGAACATTCCATGTGCCTATAATAATTGTTGCTCTGATTGTTAGAAGGCGCATCATCCCCATGACTTGAGAAAAATCTGGCCTATCACCATGAGGTGTTATAATTCATCTGAGACAAGACCATTCAACTCCCAGGGTACAGTTTAAATTGTTTATTCTGGTTAGCGTTTTTATTTAGCAAGGTTGTTTTCTACGGGATTGGGATGCTGACTCCTTGCTCAACTCTCCTCATTTAGCCGTCCTTGGGACAGATGGAGTTGTTCAAAATACTACATTCTTATTTATACCCCTAATGACCGTGGTATCTCAGGGTAACTGAATCAATGTCATATTCACGGGTATTAGACTGTCACTTTATATTGTTCAAGTGATATAAAGTCTGGAACTCCAAATAATTTCACCGTAGATCCATTTTTACTCAATACTGAACATGTGAACTATACTTGTTCTGGGAAACTTCGATTTTAATTCTAATTATGGCTTAATTTGTTGTACTTTGTTGATAATTCTCATCTTTCAAAAAACTTACGTTAAGTGACCTTTTATTGATTACTTTAAACTATCCATCATCATCTATGCGTCCAAGCTTTATTTTCTTATATTACTGTAAAACAGAATAAATAATCCGTTTTAAGCTTAGAATTACCATTGAAATAATTTCGCTAAACTTAAAAATAAAGTGGACTATATGGATGTTAATTTTATTCTGTTCAGTTTAATCTATATGGATTTGAAAAAGAATCTATTGTTGTTGTTTTTCTTCATTTATGATTAGTATTTTAATCAACTGAATGAATCTTAAAACCTACACACAAACACCAGTGAATATATTAGTTTATATGGTAACAAAAAAGCTAACATACACGAATATTCCTGTTTCATAAACACGACCATTATTTACTTTCCTAACATTCATTAACATTTCAACATTATCTGTCAAAATGTCTGTCAAACAGATTAGTCTTCTATATTTTTTTAAAATATACTTAAAATAGTGTTTTATAAAGATGTTAGTTACACAAAAACAATTTTATACTTGGCTGAAGTTTTAATAAGTAGGGTAACTTTTTGACCAGAAAAGATTGGTAAAAAAGTATTTAGATTTAATTACTGATTGCGTAAATTTAATTATTTTTTAGTGATAATGAAGATTAATCTTATATGCGATATATTTTCAGATCTAATGAGTTAATTTGATTCAAAACTAATATAGGTATAGAACTCAGTGTTTAAAGTTCTAGTTTTATGGCTGATTAAAACAACAACTTTTTTATTAGAGTAGACTTGGACAAAGAGTATAAAATGAGCATTTAAAACTTGTGATGATCAGCTGAAATTTACCACCGTGAAAGTTACTTTGTGTGAACATAAAAACTTAGTTCTCTAAAATACTAACACATTGCCTAAAATTTGTTACAATTTAGGTTGAATGTTGAACCATTTACAAAAAACTGTGAACTCTACTTAAAGATTTTAATTCAATTTGAAATAGTTTGAATCATTCTGTTGTTGACATTTTTGACTGAAATTTGATCAGTTTTGGTTGGTATGAGGGCATCCTGTGTGGATTGCCTCGACATAACGTGATAGTTTTTGTAGAAAACGGTACTGGGTTCAATTCCTGAATAGAACATCAACTCTGGGATACAGGTACTTCGAGCTCATAAGGCCCAAGTAGAACGAAGCGCGCGTCCTGAATGCCACTGCTAGAAACATTCCATTAAAGATTTTAGTTTACACCGTAACTTCAAGAAATAGAGTTACATTGAATAGATGGCTCAATGAAATTATTGATTGAAAAAAACTGTAACAATCGTTGTTTAGCTTTTATGAATTCATATATATCGGGAACACTATTAAGATCTCCCACACTTTTCCACAGTACTCAAATCAACAGTCGTTAGCTTCCTATATTGATCTTAGTCTAGTCGACCTTGATCCTTTCCTCACTTATCTTGATTTTTACCAATTAAAGTTGATGGATTCTTACAAGTTCGTCAATTTGGAGACCTTATTACTTTAACACTACAAACAAAAGTCAGACGACTTCCATTTAGCGCATCTACTATAAGACTTATACTGTCGTGTTTTCAGCTTTAACTTGGAATGTTTCATATAACTACCACCTACCATCTGATACCCGAATGTCACCATTCGAGTACAGAAAACGAATAGTTGGAATAGTTATGCAAATCAAATACCAATGTTAACCATAAATGTAGGTGAAACGTTTCATGGTGGAGACTAATTTTCATAGACTGCTTACTTAAGTATATAATCGTTATTAACACTCTACACTGGCATATTCACTTGCTAGTCACATTTTATGCTTTGAATTATTTTAGGATTTTCTTGAAATCATCCAGTTATACATTCCTTTAAAAGAAGAAGTAATGAGTGCATTAACTTCACGTGTCAATTATCCACTGTTACTTGAAGTATCATATGATGTCTGGATACAACGTTGGCATAATTTAGAGAAAGAATTACAAATTTATTTAGGTACAAATCAACATATACTTGAACCTATAAGTATATACTGTGGGAAATATATACCGGGTCCAATAGTCTCAGATCCAACTGCCACAGCCATTTTAATGAGATTTCATAGTGGACAAAATACAACTTCAAAGGGCTTCACATTAAGTTATGAATTTCTCCCAAAAATACGTCTTGATCCAATAAAATCAAAAGTTGTTGGTAAACCGGGTATGTTACCATATATTACATTAATATTATTCATTTGCTTTACAAATTACTAATAAAGGTTTTAAGTATTAACTAATGAAACCTTGAACTTATTTTAAACTGCTTAAGGTCATAATTGGCTAAATTAAGGAGTGATAGAAAACGAACGCGATTTCGAGACTCCCTTTAAAACTTTTCAACCAACTAGGCAATGCAATTTAAATGATTTCATCTTGCGAGGTGTGGTATACCTGTAAATTCAAAACCAACCTTATGCTTCACTATAAACTTACACATCTTGATCCTCTCACCTGGTCCTCCAGTCAGATAAATAGTTTTGCGACTTACGTTTTCACTATACAATCAATATGATTTATCCACTTATATATTTAAGCTTCAATGGACCAGGACTTTTTTATAAAGTATTGTCATGGTGGTGCCGCAGCCGATTTATATTGTAATATGACATTTTGTCTATGGTTTGGTCCTTTCGAACACAACTACTGATATACGCTAAATTTATCAACATTCGTCGATGATTAGAGCTAAAAAACCCTCCCGATCATTTCAAAATACTCTATACTTCAACATTGAAAGACATATGACGTAGTTTAACTATTACTATCAATCTGGATAATGGAAATTTCCAGACACTGTATGTGATCTCATGATAGGAGGCCATAATCCCTCCGCTCTAAATAAAAACAATCTCATTATAGATGAAAAGTCACCACACCTAAATACGTTTAACTAAATTACTATGTGATTCATTGGATTTCTGATACAGTTCAATAAATTAGCATTGAATGTATATATATAACTCAATCGTATGGTTAGATAACGTAGTTTTAATTTGTGAAAATATTTTTAGGGAACAAAAATGGTGATAGTGCTGACGACAAGCATCCAGTCAAAAGTACTAGCAGTGGTTTAATTACTTCACCAAATTTTCCCAATTTATATGTCAAGGACTTCAATTATGAATGGTATATTCAAGGAACTACAGAGAAAAGTCGCATTCAATTATATTTCAATTCATTGGATTTAGAAGGTTCGAAAATGAGTAAGTTTCTAAGTGAAAATGAAATTCGGATAGTGGATTGGATCTTCCCATGTATTTACTTTTGTATGTTGTTCATGTTTGCTTTATATACATACTATTCTGTTGAAGCTTTGATTAGTTTTCAGACAAACAGATATCCTCTGTTATTTTTATATTACAGTGACATACTAAATGTATATATCAGACGCGGTGTACTAGATAAAGCATTAGATTATTTACCGGAATGAACAAGATTTTGCAAATAGAAATTAAATATTCATTGGAATTGCGAAATCATTTGTCGCTTGCATTTACTTAAACTTAAAATGAATTCTTCTATAACCGAAGCTTAAACACTATGTATGCAGATATTATCTTGTACACTAAAAATTTATGTTTTACCTTTTTATCATGTTTTCCTCTGCCATAATAGATTGTTCAAGAGCAGTTCTTCGGATATATGAAGGTCGTAACCCAAGAAGTTCATATGAACTTTGTGGAAATCCTAATGAACTCCTGCCTATCGTTATACCAAATTCTGTAGCACGAGTAAAGTAGGTTTAATAAAATACTTTATTTTAAAGTAAATTTTAAATCCCAATCTGCTCCACACTCTCTATCATAGTTTGTATAGCATATTTATGAGGAGTCCTAGAATCTTGTTTAATAACTTGTACTAAGATCCAAAGTTAGGTGAGTTGTTAGAACATACTTTCAATGTATTCTGGTATTAATTAAGCTACTTGAAGTATCCTTGATTGATTTCTTACAAAGTAATGGGAAGGAATGTGAAACTGTACTATGGACGATTTTTAATCTCTTAGAATTACTAATGTCCTATTGACTGAGTGCGCCGAATCAAAGATTATCCTAGGTCTGAATATCATTTAACTCTTCAAGTTTCGTATTTCACTTCCACATGAGAGAGCGAGAAACCGGTGTTGCTATCCTATTACAACAATTGAACGCTTTCTATATGTTTTAACCCTCCAAAGTGGTAAATTTCACGGATAATCAGCAAAATGTCAATTGACATTTTATAACTTTTTTTTTATTTGAGCAATTTATCCGACCGATTGCTTTTCTTGAGATTTTAAATTTTTTAGTCAACATGGGTTAACTGTACAGATAAGATGGATTGTTTAATTGCCATCTACTGTAATAGAAATACGCTTTGTGATGAAATTCAATGGGTCATGATATTTAACGGTTATTCTGATCAGTATTCAGAGAGAGTGTATATAGAAATGTCCCGTCAAATTAAATAACCGTTAGATTTCAGCTTCATTAATCGGAAGTTGTTCTCAGAATTGTTTACCTGTTTCGCTAAAATGTTTATGTAAACTATCTTATACTGTCTAGTCGTTTCTAGGTTTCTTTGAGTTGGACTCATTTGACGAGCTTTGCCACGTTATCATATTTTTGAGGAACTGATTAAGTAACTTTACCACCGATCATTTTGAAAGCTATCTATAATAGTCTGGTCTATCCAAATCAGCCTATTTCTATTTCATAGCACATTCACAGCATATTCTATCATTTCTGAATAAATAAAATATATACGAATATTGATGAAAAATTATTTTGAACATCGTTTTCAATTTCGTATTGATGTTGATGGTTAATGAGTTACTGGAAATCTAGTCCTAAAAATGCTAATACACATGGATATTATATTAGATCATGCATGGTATGAGCCACAAATAATTTTAGTTTTTTGGGGGGTTCATGATCGTAACTGCTTACATTTTAAATGATATCGGGTTATTTCCAGAAAGAATAGTAGATTTGTTCAAAATTAATGAACGTGGTTGTGAAAAGATAAAAATCTTTAAAAATCCCTTAACAAATGTTGATGATTTTTAGTTTTTATCACTTTTAAGTTACCCGATGTAGTAACTGAATACTATGTTTGAATAGTCATTTTTTATGGAGTTCTGTTTCTGTTTCTTTTCAAGTGACTGTATTTTTGAATTAAAATTATTTTCAAACAAATAGAAACAAATCCATGAGATTATATTCAGTATGATTCACACCCCACGCACGGCAGGACTCGGACTCGCAATCTTCTACTAAGGAGGCAGATGCCTTATCCATTAAGCCACGCAGGCGCATGTCCGCACGATAGTAAGGAGATATTCGTCCATTCATATACTGATTATCCCATTTAAAGTACTTTAGATTCGATCACTTTTAATTCAACTGACATTTTAATCGTTTAGTACGAAAGGTTTACGCAGCAGCCTCTTGTTTCTACTCGATCCCATGATGAAAATTTTCAGCCAGTGATGCACTAGTTGTAAGTATATGTATGCATAGTTAGAAGCTTTTAACTGGTAAATATATTCAAACTCACCCATAAATGAACCCGGAAGCTTCTGATCATGTTGATTAGGACTCCCTGTTCCACCTGTACGATATCGGATGCACAGACCAAATCAGTGAATATATATATAAACTACTTCTCTTGTTTCATAATTTTCAGTAATCTTTTTTCATCGGAAAAAATCTAGTTAGTCTTAGATCATGACTGAGATATTTAAAATTAATTTGCGAATCATCTTTAATACTCCATGTTAAATGTTATGATTTTAAGGATATGATATCTACATCAGTTGTTGTCATTTCGCTTAAATAAATGTGAACGTGACTATTATTTTGCATAAAACAAAATGATTACCAAAATAACTTTTGTTACTAAATGGTTTTGCTAGTAGTTTGTCTTATCGAGTTCAATATTTCCAAGAAAGAATATGGGTATGTAACTTACATGGTCAAGCTAGTAACTGAGGTGACTAAGCAGAAACAACCTGTAAATCCCCACCAGTTTAATATGTTTGACCAGTTGGCATAAAACGATATATCTAATTCGGATGGTCGCTTTATGTTATGTTTACAACTTCAGAGTTCGCCACAGATTTTCTTATGGTTAGCGAATTTTTCAAACAATCTACATGTGATCTTAACAAGATTTTCATATTCAAACATCTATCCCAAACTGTAGCTTATTGTTTTAGTAAAGAAGGTTTTATGAAATAGAAAAATATTATTTCTTGAGTTTATGAAAAGTAGTAACCACTGGATTTTAAACTGATTGATCTATGGCAAAGCCTATTCACGGGGCATGATGTTCTCTAGTCCAGAGACAGATGTAATCGCCGCTATATACTTTTACAATGTCCCAACTTATTACGAAACGGTGTTGTTAGTTGATATCTTATTTTAAAAGCCCATGTCTTCCAACTGTCTTAACTTTATCAATTGGTGAATTAAAAATATCCATACTGTTTGAAAAAGATTACTTAGTGCTGACCAAGTAGTTTTATGGAATATGCTTTCTTTTTAAAACTTCTAAACAGAATGCACACAGCAACGGATGCATCTGGTTCGAAAGGATTCGAGTTAATCTGGACTGATCTACTACCAATAGATCCTGAAAGTATGTTAAAAATATTTACTAGAATTGTTAACATAGGGACTGTGAATTTAAACCCAACAACGAACTCTAATACTGAGTTTACAAACTGTTTTTTTTTAATTTAAGTGGATTAAATTAAAGCTAAGCTAATCAAATCTATATACGCTTACAAAAATTGAGTTTGAATTAAATTTAGTATGGCAATATTTGCAGCACATCCCAATTATTACTAATTTCGTCTAGGTTAGTCCCCATTATTGTGCTCCTTCTTAGTATATTCAGTCTACTGAATAGCCTAATTGTGTTACAAATACTTTTACTATCATCTATTTAAGTTTCTCGTAGCTTCCTAGCCATAATACCATACAGTTAAAAACTCGTTTTGACTCATTTTAATTGTTATCTTTTAAGTTTTGTCTAACAGTCCCAGCATTTCCTTTAAAACTTCACATTTTCACCTGATCTGACGAATCAAACAAGTTTGCCACCACATATTCTTTTCTGTTTTGGCTGTCAACATATATCCGTAAATATCTTTATAATAAAGAGTAAAAAATATAATCAAGTATATGAAATGTTAGGTTGGAAAGTTCTTCCACTTATCATTTCCATTAAGTACAACATGTCTTACCAACTTTATCAAGAATCATCATGATTATTAGAGCAAAAATTTAAACACTATTAACCTAAAGTAAACTAGATTAGAGACCAAACCTTTGAAATCCCCTGTGCTTTTGGCTGTCCGTAAGTATACTATATGTTTTAGATTGATTTATAGGAAGAGCTATCAAGCCAAGAATAACTATTTTTGTATTTCTAATTAATCTATCAGGGAACGAAAGTGAAAATCAATGTTCTACAGAAATTCTTATTATTCTTAATGATCACAAATTCATACAATTTTACGCACAGCAAAAACTATTCAAGTATAATCGGTAATTCATCTCTTTGAAAATTAAACATTTTGTTTTTGAGAATGGCAACTAGCCTAGTCAGAAACGATATAATAATGAATTGAATAGATCAGAATGGGTTTTGTGGAGATTTTTAGAAATTTCACAGATTGAAATCATGAGTCAGTTGAAGCTAGACCACCATTGAAAACCTGGTTTTCAATGGTGGTCTAGCTTCAACTGACTCATGATTTCAATCTGTGGAATTGAATAGATGTTGTTAGTTAGTTTAGAAAATCGAATATATATATATATATATATATATATATATATATATATATTAGTACCGCGGAATTTACCAAAAAGTGTATTCCAGCATTTCCAAACAGAGTGCATTTTTCTCAGATTAGATTCCAGGACATCAGTTTTACATTTTCACAACCATACATGTAAAAAATGTTTCTATGTATTTATTGTTTCAGCTGGATGTAAAGGTTTCCTCTGTGAAAACACAGGTCATTGTTTATATACAGATCTAGAATGTAATGAAGTACTGAATTGTGGAATGTATCAAAAGGATGGAAAATGGTTAAAGGATGAATCAGATGAAGCAAGCTGTAAGTACTCTATAGAACGTTATTTAACGAAACAGTCACCGATCCAGAAGATTAATTCATTTTGTTTACATGTGTAAGACTTAAATGTCCTGATTTCTGACATAAACTTGGCTATGAAAATACATTTTAGATTGAATGATTGGGTTGACAGTGAAATGAATAAGACTTATTTTAAATGTGTGAACATATATTCATAGACCCTCATGGATAATTCGGGAGTTCCGTAAAAGCATTTTTCACCAGGTATTGTCATGAAGCATCTGAAATATATATTATGAAAAACAAATCAACAAGATCTCACCACTCATCCTCGTAAATCCCAGTTTTATATTATGTCTTTAGCAATCTATATTTCCTTTTCGAAAAAGATCTAATTTTACAACTGGCATATGTTGTATAGAAGAGTAGGATTAATGAATTTACTCTAGTTTTAGTTCAGAGGTTTAGAGATTAAGGTATTTCATTTAGTGAGAAAAAAACGATTATTTTTAAAATTACTATCCAATGAATTACTTCACGCTCCAAACGTCCTCACTAAGTCTACAGTGAGCCTACTAATTCCAATCTTCCCTGAAGCTGAATAAAATGCCTAGACTCATTCCTTCCTTTCATGAAGATTTTATATTTGTTACTTTCTAACCTAATTTTTATGAGAGCAACTCTTTGTACTTTTCAATTCGTTACTATGATAGGGTACTAATAAATAAATGATGTTCTGAAATCTTTCTTACGTATTTATAAAGATTATATCAACTGATATGCACAACAAAAGGGGGATTATTTCGCCTTTTGTTCTATATGACATTTCAGTGATTACATGCTTTCCTTTGCCTTCATTCATAATATTCCTTCTCGATTATTTACTATTTGTTCAGGAAGTAAATATATTGTCGCTAGTTCTATCTTTGTCAAACCATCTAAATCATCTTACAAACGGATATGAGGAGTCGAAATATAATTTGTTTGTATCATTTTTCGTGTCCATAAAACAAATCCAGCTTATTCATAAGAAACATTTTTTCACAAATATCAATTTCACATTACGATGTCTTACAGATATTAAAAACCAAGTATCTAAGTAAACTAATAACTGGATGTTATTTACACCGAAATTCGCAAGTGGTGAACTGAAGTTCGGTAGTTTAGTGACCTATATGATTCCCTCAGAGTTTGAGAGCATTAATCTTAGCCTCAACGGAGACCACATTTTTGTCCTTTGTGAGCAGTGTCATGAAATTTTCAAACATAATCACTGTTATAACCTTTAGTGTTTTATTTTTGTGTACTTTTTTCATAGGTTCATTGAGACTGAGTTACAACTTAGTTCATATTGGTACGGGTATTCTACTAGCACTAATTCTACTTCTTGGTATAGCTTGCTACATTTACTATCGTGAATATAAACGCCGAAAACATATGCCATTGGATCCCCTAACAGAACTAACGGGTTCAAAGCCTTCTCTATCACTTAATCAGTCAGCTCACAGATTGACCACCCACTGTTCAAATAAAAAACAGTTACACAAGTGTCATAATTCACAGAGTACAGGGTTGTTATGCGATTTGTCAACCGAGAAAGAAATGGTCTTTACAGATATCGGTCCAATAAAGAAGCATCAGCACCAGCAACACTATCACCATCATCAACATCGTCATTTACTACATTCACATCAGTTACCGCCACATGCTCACTCTCATCGGTACCACCACCACAGTTACAACAAAAAGATGACTGAACACAGTACACACTCACAACTAATCAATGCATCTCATGACTGTCATAGTTCACACTTTTCACTCGATAACCAACACGATTATTGTCATACGATTAGATTAAATAATAAGACACAACACCGGACATCGTCACATTCAGGATCATTAGTTAAAAATGGAGGTGGTACAGTAATATCGGATTCTGTACATAGTTGCGGAGGTAGTAATAATAATACAAGTGGTTTGATTGTCGGAACTGGAAGAAATTTATCAACAACAGCCGACGGTGGGTTACTTATAAGAGAGAAAATGCAAAAAATATCAATAGTTTAACTCATTTCTGATGAAATTTCCACACTTTTTGGTCTTTTCGTTCACATACAACTCCAAGTAATATTATGTATACCAGACTTGGTGTAGCTAAATATTGATATTACTACTATCACTGTAATTTATGAAAAACAGCTCACCAAATCTACTTCTGATAACTAATCATTCCATTGGTTTTTTTTTGTACATTGTAATATTATCCACTAAAATGAAATGTATAACTTTTATTCAGGTTGAAAATGTGATTTCCATTCTTTCTTTTATTCATCCTTTGGTTTTGGTTTTTCTTTCAGAGTGTTCTAGTGATTATGTTGTGTTTAAAAGGTGTATGACCTCTTTTTAGTGATTTAGTATGTGCTAATATGTATTAACCACAGTATATTTTTCTCTCGTCATTTTTGAACAGTTTATTGAGTATGATATATTTGATGCTTATATATCCAAAAATAGATACATAATGATTGATTTAAACTAGGTCCATATGGGTATATTTTAGAAGTATATGTAGATACAGTGATTTTAGTCACTTATCCTTGTAAATAAGAACGTTAGTAATATTGACTAATTACTTAAAAATAAAATATTGTTTCTTTTTTTGTATAAAGGCGAGCAACCTCGTGTTCTCTGTTTTATTTACTTACTTCTCCCTATTTGTGCATTAGTTTTAATTTTTCGTTTTGTTTTCTTCTTTGGAATGCATTTTTCTTCTTATAAAGTTAACATATTGATTAAAATGTAAGGAACTTTTTTAGAAGCTATTGTTGAAAGTAAATTCCACAGAAATCACTTTATCTTAATTCTTTTTTTGATTTTGCGCTTTTTCTCGTGTTCTTTTGTTTGTAACTTAATGAGTTCGGAGTTAAGATGCATGTGAAAAGGGATGTTACTGGGATCAGTGAGGAGTTGTAACTAGTTACCTAAATGTCTTCTTCAGAAATTGGTAAGAAAGATTAAACAGATTAAACCGAAGACAAACTTTAAAAAATGTTCAGAAGAATTGGTGATATAGGGAAGATTAAACAAATGATTAATATGTCTATATGCGTCAAGAGTTCCTTTATTAAGTAGGGATCACTGAACTATGGCAATACATTTGTAGTCTCGCTGTATATGTTAACTAGCTTTCGCATTCACTTTAGTAATTAGAAGTTAAGACAAGAGATTAGGTGTGTCAGGATTTAGGATTTGCAGTTTAGGGTCATTATCTAAGATCAGTTTTCTAGAGTTATAGATCATACGTTTGTGTTTATAAGTTGAGTATCACAACAATAGTTATGGGTTTCAAGAATATGATGATTTAGAAAGAACATCAAAAGCTTATTCTGAATGAAATATTCGTGAATCATCTCTTTACTCATTCTTGATCAATATACATGAGTTTAGTTGTTTCACCCTTATCGTATTTAAAAACAATTGATTTAAGCGTAGTAGGCATCATTACCTAGGTTTGACTTGATAATTTCGAAGAAATTGAGCGTTGGGTAGATTGTTGTAAACAAAATAATATATTTGTAATATCTCAATGAGTAGAAAAATTAGATTTTCTGATGTTTCGTGATTCAGTTTAAGTCACTTCTTCAGAGAATAAATAACCAAAGAAGTGGCTTCCACATTAGGTTATATTCGAACGGGAATAGAATCCAGGCATTACGTTTCGTCTCCTTCAGAACTCAATGAGTGGATGTACTTGAATCCTAGTGTTAATGGTCACTCCGTGATTCAGACTCACCATCTTTTGTTTCGACTAATCAAAGCGTTATTCAATCACTAAGCTGCTGAGATCAAGTAGCCATTCACTTCTGCAACAGGTATGGATTTTAATTTAATTTGTACTGATTTGGGTTATCGAAATTCAGTTGAAATATCAACATTGAGATAAGCCAAACCACTACAAACTAATTTAGAATTTCAATTTCTTAATATCTAATCAGAACCAAAATTAACAGTTTGCCCTTTTAAAATATGATATCTGGTTACTGTTTATTTAGTTAAACTGTGAAAACACGGTAAAAGTTTCTTCTGTTACGACAAAAATACGATAACAAACAGAAAACTTTTAAAACTCATCGGTTTTTATGGAGAAGTACTGTACGGTTATTAAAGCATTTCTAATTTCAGTTCTTCAAAGTATGTCTCATCCCAACTAATAGACTCAATTGATTTTCGAAAGTCATTGAGATTGGAGTCTGATATTCATATCTGAACTTAAAGATTTAAATTGTTAAACCAACGTTTCTCAGCTTTCATTCCAGAAAATGTTGTATATTGCCTTTTGTAAAAGTAGTAAACACATGATGTTACAGGTGAAGCATAAAATCTTAAACTTATCACAAGGTAAGTAAAATAACCCATAGTGTCATTGAATAAGAAAAGAATTCAGCGAAGGAAATTTTCTTTTCGACGAAATCATTTACTTAAGCTGTACATTTGTACATATAGTTATATAGAAAATGTATGTCTATAGGAGGATAGAAAAGATTGAGTCATAAATTGATTCGGCAGGACAAAAGAAAACCCTTTTTATGGATATGGAATTTAAATGAGACACGGCTGATGAAATCTTAAATAAACGAGTTTCAAAATCGTTGGACAAGACGTTCTACGCAGCTAAACTCCAAACTGTTTTCTCAAACCGGCCTAACATTCATGGATGTGTTAAGGATAAACTTCCGCTTTGGGCTACATCAGTGTGTATCTAGGAATGTACTTGCTCGCGTGGGGCACGTTACATAAGCGGCACACTTTCCAAACGCATCTCAGAACACTATCGGCGTGGCTTTTAAAAGGAGAATGAAAAACAGTTACTAGTTCTATATAAGAGCATTTAATCAACTGTGGACACATCGCTCCAAAGAATTTCTTTTTTAAAGTGATCTACAGAGTCAAAGGAATTGGATCGAAGGAATGTTGAATCATTATTTTATGCACTGCTGAGGCATTAACAATCCACGAACTCAAGCCCGAACTTTGTGTGCAGAAACGACTCGTCCAACCTCTCATCCTTCCTTGACCCTAATTCCCTTTGTTGGTAGTTTTGAGTTTTTTTCTTTTTTCAATTTTACTTGATTATTATTGATTTTTTAAATTATTGTTTTGCAATTTTGAACTCTAATCAATTATTATTATTATTATTATTATTATTATTATTATTATTATTATTATTATTATTATTATCTTATACAAGTTTGCTTGATCATTATTCAGTTTTTATTATTATGACCTCTATGCTTGTCGTTTTTCTTGATATCTGACCCATAAACGATTTTCTTCCTTACCCCTTGATTAGTACGTAACCTCATTTAATAATAAGAGTCTCGAATCCATTTTTGTGATGCAATGTTTTCTATCCTCCTATAGACATGTATTTTCCATATAACTATATATACGAATGTACAGCTTAAGTAAATGTGTTATTGTAAAATCTGCTCCTTTTAGCTAAATCTCGACATAATCAATCCTTAAACTTGGTTTGTTTTTCTTTTTGACTTTGGATTTTTGGTTCCATTCTTGCCCTTGAGTTTGTCCCTTTGTTCATAGACACAAGGAGGCTTAAATGCTGAAGGCTTATCACTAATTTATCTCTGTAATTGTTGCAAAGAACAATAATTTAGTAGACTTTAATTTATATTCACAAAATTCCTATTTGATTGAGGAATTTTTTGGTTTTAGTATTACTTAGTTTCGGATTGTTAATCTATTGAATGTTTGTTTCTTAGTCGCTTCGAAGTCTGAAAATTTGGAGACAACACAAAGTCCTTTAATAAAGGGTCGCTTACTTCTTCGAATTTGTAAAATACCGTTTGAACGTTTTAAAACTGTTTTAAATTCAAAGTTTTATCAGATTTGAAGGAGTATTTTGATTACACTGGTGGTTTGGCACTTTCTTTCCGTCCGGTTTAATTGGATAATTTGTCTTGGGAAATTTCAAAACAAGAAGTCGAAGAGGAAGGTGATGTCTCCAAGGTTATCTGACCTTTGTTTGGTATTGTTACTGTAGATCACCAACACAGGTGATCTGTGTCGATGATTGGGGGTCTAGTAGAGTTGGACGGGTATGAGATGATCAACAAGCTTACGTCGAAGTCGCACCTCACGGTTACTACCTAGCGTGGATCACCCTTTCGTCGTATCCAGGTACTATAGCTACTTTGACGACCATACAATACAAACAACGTTAATACAGAAATATATTGGTAAGAGTACGTACAAGAAACAGTGTGACCACTGCCGCATGAGTTAGTCCACGGCGTGCAAGTGGTTGGTGCGCGTTAATTATTATTGCTATTATTATTATGATTATTATTCACAAACAGCTTATTGGTATATAAGTGTTGTGATGAAACCATTTTGAGTTTCTTCCGAAATGAAGTTATACACAAGTTTCAATAATGTGTGCATAATATTCGCCATATTTAAACAGGTTCTGTTGAATTTAGAATACTGAATTAACTTTAAAGAACGAAAAGGAAAAAAGCGAGGGAAAGAAGCGTTAAATATGTAAATGATTTAATAAGAGTGTTTGAGAAAACAAGAAGGAACAGTAATATATGTATTACAAAATGAACAGAATAAATAAATAAAATAAGTCACTAATGATGTAAGATTTGACGTTGGATAAGAGTTTGTGCAGTAATAGTTATGAATAATTCTATGAAAGTCTAATTAATTGCAGATGATAATCGTTAAATATTTTGACCTTGATGGCAATCTGTAAACTGTTAGATATTCAGTGACCCGAATGTCGGATGTCTTAGCTAGTGCCCAGTGACATAACACTAGGCCTACAGGTATCTGGAAGCTAGTAGTAGTTGCCCAAGGAGAATAAAGTTTAATCTTATATTGTATGGAGAGTAATGGACAAGTTAAGACACCTATCGAATGAATGATTTGATCTTAAACCTTCTGAATAAATATTTAACAATAATGACTTGCCACTTGAACTGCTAGGATCTATAATTTTACTGCCTAGATCTCACAACTGGAATAGCTTTCTCATTTCGATCAAAATTTCCGCTACTCCAACTGAGTTCACCAGGACTAGTAACAAAGTTTTCGTTAAGCCTAGTATGATATTTAATAAACTGGCTTTAAAACACAACGCAAATCCTAGACTTCAGAACTATTATTTCAATACGGCAACTCTAATATTTTGCACTAAAAAATGATATAAGTTCAGGTCGTCAAAGTTGTATATGTTCTACAACTGTACTTGCTAGCACCTGATTACAAAACGTTTCCATTACAGTTGCTTTTTTAATTCTTTTACAGTTACTCTACCCCCCCAATATTTCAAGAACAATATAGAGGATTGGAAAACAATAACGTCCAAATATTTAATTAAACTCGGTTTAACTTTAGTATATCTTATTTGTAACAGCATGGTCAGAACTTGATTTCTTATAGCAGAGCAAGAGAATGAAAAGCAAGCACTTCTGGGCTTGCTGGAAAAAAGACGTTTTTGCGATAGATGTGCGATTTTTGAAGGTTGTTTACGAAAATTTGATTCTTCAGATAGCTCGCTTCGTAAATAAAAGTGAGTGAGTGTCAAAATATTTATTTTGGAGTATGTGTTAATAACGTTTTACGAAAAGATGACCACATGTTAAACAATTTACACGAGAATTATGCATCCTATTAATCATTTCAAACTGGTTGTGGGCCAGTAGATTGAAATTTTCGCTCGTGCTGTTCTAAGGTCGTAAGGAGAATAAAGTCAAGTCTGATTCGACTATTCTCTTCTGTACAGACTGTTGTTAGTGCTTTAATAGAAGCACCTCTTAGTAGAACTAATCATTGTTTTTGCATATTTCTTTTATCATATGACTACTTTTAACGTCCAAACATCTTTAAACATACTCCCAATCGTATCACGACTATATGTTACTGTCGAGTCACCACGTATGTATCACATAATTATCAACAACTTTTTAAAGAAGTAGATATTTTAAAACAGATGTACCATAAAAATATATTTGTTCACACTTTGTCCAACGGGAATATGCAGTGAACGGTAAATGTATCCGGCCCTGGACCTGTATATTCCAAAACGATATATCTGCGCGAGTTCACGATTTTCCAGCCTTCACTACCTGGTCCATTCATACCTATCATCGGAAATTTATACGGATGACGTATTACTATTTTCTCAACTGAAGATATTACAACAGCTTCTCCTGGAATAAAATTCAGGAAGTGTTTCAGTTATACTACTGCTTTAAATTTAGTCTCTTCTGTTATTCCCTAAACTATAGCTTATGAAAGTTTAGTTTGTAAAGGTAAAAGTCTGGTTTGTTTTCTAACTCTAGAGAGTAAAAAACATTATAGTAATTCAGTATGCAGTTGACAGATCTGATTTTTCACGTAACACCAGTTGTTGTTTGATGTCATATCTCTTTATTTTGCTGCCTCACAGTAGACTTTCGCGAACTTATTAGAAATTATCTTCTCCAGATGCACATTATTCTTTCTAATACTGTAGCATTCTGCACACTGTTAATGTTAATCTAACCGCAATAAGATAATGATGACACAGTCTTTGTTTTGTTATAGTGCAAGTAATTGCTTTTGTAAGTCACTCACTCTCACCTGGTTATTTCGTGCTCTTGGCTTTCCCACATTGATAGAGAAATACACCATTTGTGAACCATTTTAACTCATAAACCAGAGAGACTCCGCAAAACAAACGAATAATCTTACCTCAGTATCCAACATAAAAGGCAATGTCGAACTGAACGAGTATAGGACTGTAGTGTTGTTGGTTCATAACAACACGATCTTTGAAGCTTAGCGTATAACTAGTGTGAACACTTACATTCAACATGTAACACATGGAGAAGGTTGACAGTGATGAACGCCGAATCATTTAATCGAGATGGTATGGCTCGGTCATGTAGGCACGGTTATGCTGTATAATCCCTTCCTCTTCGTATCAAGTATATTAATCTCTTCCCAGCACAAATATTTGTTTTAGAAGTGTCAGACGTCATATTACTGATTGTCAGGTGGAACGAGTCAATGTGGGCAATGGTGTGACTTCCTCGTAAGATCTTACAGGTTAAGTAGTCACATCATGACGTGTCTGCTATTTTGGGATTAGGTTGAAAATCCAAACAATTTATAACCTCAAATCGAACATCAGTATGGGCATCGTTAGTTTAATAATTGGTCTAGAAAGCCTCATATATAGTAATGTGAAACTCTGTGTATGAATTCCTGTGAGAAACCATAAGTATGACTAAGTAGACTCTCCGTTTTCGAAGAATTGTAAGCGTAACAAATTTCTCGCCTCACAACTAAAAGAAGAGTATAGGGAAGGTGCAGTTAGTTATACACCAGTAGCTCTGTACCCAGTAATGGTAAATTTGTGAAATTCCCAGTAGGTTGTAATGTCTAGTACTAATACACACTCATATGATTCATTTTAATAAATTAAACAGCATGTGACTATTGAACCATTTTTACCTTTATAAAAACTATTTTTTCACAATAAGTTGTGACCTTAAGCTCACACGTCTTATTTTTATGTCCTTGTATTTGTACGCTCATGTGCCTTGTGGATACTTTTTTGTGCTTGTCTGTCGCTTATTATATTATCCAATCTCTGTGTCTGCCAAACTGCATTATCTACTTCAAGCTACATTGACGCTTATAATCAGTAGTATAGGTTATTTATTATGTTTTTCTTCTTCGACCTGCTTCTTCGTTTCATTTCGCTTATTATCTGCTTGGGTCGATTAGTGTATGAAGTATTGGTATCTCAAATTAATTCCCGTATTTGACTTGCTATACTCCGTTGTTCTCTAAAATGAATAAAGCCAATAATTATATACGAGAGTGACCTGCATGTACATCTCTTCGACAACACGATTCAATCAAATCGAAGTAAAATCAATGGGACTGAAAATTCTAAAAGTATTCTGAGCTTGAGAATACCTTAAGCAGTAAAACCCTTGATAATCGAAATATGCAAACCCAGTGAAATCAGAAGTCAGGAGCGAAGAGGTTCGAAGATATATTTGATAGAATATCGATATATCAATGAGTGCTCAATCTAGGACGACTAGCGGTTGCAGGAGAAGTGATGCACTGCCTACCCACTCGTGATCAAGTTCGGATGCATGACCAACTGACGTCAGCTAGGTGAGTCCGGTAAAACTAATGTGGTCATCATCAAACATCGAAGACTTACAGAGCTATTGATTTGGGGGATTTATTTACCGCTACAGGCCTCAGAAGGACCACTTGTCGAGACGGCAGACAGATAAAATTTTGTTCCGGAAAAAATCTCACACAAATCTGTGAGAGCCAGTCTGTGAGACTTAAACACTTTAACAATTTAGGATCAATAAAAAGATTTCTGAGGTAGGAAATTTCATGAGTAAGCTATTCTTAGATCCTGTTGACGTGTTCTGTTCAGCACCATACAGCTTTCATGATTTGAAGATAGGAGAGCCAGAATTTACTAAGTACTTCTATCATAGCTTAGAGGTAATCTATATCATGCGGATCAAACTTTAAAATGTTCGAACGTTTTCGGATAGAAATTTATAACCGTCCACTCCCCAGGATGTTCCTACTTATCAGGATGGCAATATAAGTTACGAAGAGAAGTATTCAGATCGCTTTTTTCATTTAAAGAACAGAACATCAGTTGGTAGTTGGAGGAGCGATCGTGGAGTGTCTCCTTCAGCAATCATCACCAATCTCTACGGAAGTAAAGGGCATGTCGATGATTAACTTTAAAGATCCAGTGCATGTTACCACCATTCTTACCTACAGTAGGCAATAACACGACATACTGATTCTAACCGAGAAAAATCTCTCACAAAATTTTTGTAAGAGCTCTTTCGTGTTCTATCCTTAATTGATCTCCTCACACAGTTAGTTCAGTAGTGAGTAGTACGAGTGGTCTGCTAGAGCGAAGATAGTTATGAGAAATATGTCGCACCCAAATCTGGTCAGCCAGCTATGCTCATTACAGAGGCGCCTGAGGTATTTCATTTCCTAGCCGCAGTAAGGCATTGGTTAATTTCATTCATAGTCTACCAACTTCATAATAAGAGCCAAACACAACCAAGAGCCTTTTTTTAAGAATTCCATTATCGTATTGCCTTTCGAGAGACACGCTGAATGAACAAATGGGACAAATATATTGCACACAACCGTCACTGTCCATGATGCATACTCTTCCCTTCTCTTCCATCAACAGACTCATTTTTCATTGTATATGCTCATAGAAAGCGAAATAAACCTAAAATTCATATTCTTCATGCACATTATTCCAGAGTATGACCAAAAAACAACTACAATAATTAGTGTATACCAGCATGTCGTAGAGTTATTGTAGGATGTGACAGCTTCTGCTTTAAAAAGCATGATTCCAATTTGTCAGACAACAAGTAAAAATTATTAGTTATGAATTTCGATCCATCAGTTCAAATGATTCATTACATTAATTCTTTGTTTTAAATTACTTGACATGTCATCTCCATTGGGCGGTAGTTAGCTTCATAAGGTATGTGGACCTCATTATTTTTCATATATTGTTTATACTGATAATTTTACTCTTGTTCTTGTTAGCTACGTTTGTTTGAAGAAATTTACTCTTGTTTGCACTGTTTTTCATTTTAGAATGCTTTCAAATGTTTTTAGGTATCAGGCGTTTATACACAAATGGCAGATTACTACAGCCAAGATTACGGGTCATCAATGGATTACAATAACATGGAGACTGGTTACGGGTCTGCTGCTCAGTCTACCGCGATGGGTAATGGGGAATATGGGCAATTTTCATATGACCACATAAGAGATGAGGAAGACTATCAAGCAATTCCTCGCCCCGAAAAGCGAGTATCATCGCCCCAAACTAAATACGACTCTGGAAATGACGATCGAATTCGGGATAAAAAACGTGGGCGGAGGAAGTCGCGCAGTCGTAGTCGTGATCGTCGACGTCATAGCCGAGATCGACATCGAGACCACAGTCGAGAACGTAAATCTAGGAGACATCATTCACGTCATCGGTCAGCTTCAAGTCCTACGTTAGTATATAAGTATTGGGATGTTCCGCCCCCAGGGTTTGAGCATGTAACTCCGGCACAGTACAAAGCCCTTCAAGCATCAGGTCAAATACCGGTCAATGTATACGCTGCAGGACAGGTACCAATGCCAGTTCATGCTCCGAATGCTCCTCTAACACTCACTACTAATGTTCCGTTCGCCGGCAGTGCTGTTTGCAGACAAGCACGCCGATTATACGTTGGTAACATACCGTTCACAGCAACAGAAGAGAATATGATGGAATTCTTTAATAAACAAATGCGTGCTCAAGGCTTGATTCAAGCGGAAGGTAACCCCATAATTGCCGTGCAAATAAATATGGAGAAGAATTTTGCTTTCTTGGAATTTCGTTCTGTCGACGAAACAACCCAAGGCCTCGCGTTAGATGGTGTTTTGTTTCAGAATCAAGCTTTGAAGCTTCGCCGACCACGTGATTATGCTCCTCTACCAGGTGTTTCGGAACAGCCTTCAGTCATTGTTCCGGGTGTTGTTAGTACGGTTGTCCAAGATTCTCCACATAAAATATTCGTGGGTGGTCTTCCCAACTATTTAAATGAAGACCAAGTAAAGGAATTACTTCTAAGCTTTGGCCCCTTGAAAGGATTTAATCTTGTTAAAGATGGTTCTACCGGTTTATCGAAAGGCTATGCCTTTTGCGAATATGTCGACGCAAACGTTACAGACCATGCGTGCGCTGGTTTGAATGGCATGCAATTGGGTGATAAAAAACTCATTGTGCAACGAGCAAGTGTAGGAGCAAAGCATACTACAGGTGTTCTTCCCCAAACTTTGCTATCGTTACCAGGGTTGGAAGATGGTACTGTCCAGAACACGACCGGTTCAGGTAATATAACAATTCGTAGTGGTGGGCCGCCTACCGAAGTACTATGTTTGATGAATATGATCGAGACTTCGGAACTAGAAGATGATGAAGAATACGAAGATATAGTTGAAGATGTTCGTGCAGAATGTAGTAAATATGGTGTTGTTCGCAGTCTAGAAATCCCTCGACCGATCCCCGGGGTTGAAGTTCCAGGAGTCGGAAAAATATATGTTGAATTCGCAAGTCTGATCGACTGTCAAAAAGCTGCCACTGCTCTAACAGGAAGAAAATTCAACCAAAGACTTGTGGTGACGTCTTTCTTCAGTCCTGATAATTACCATCGCAGGGAGTTTTGAATCTGACTGTTTTAAGATGTATATATAATACAATTTTAATGATTTTATTAGGTTAATCATTGATATTTTACGATATTTGTGTTGTTTTTACCGGGATAGCCGTGCGTACTTTGGGTATTAAGTTTGTACTACAACGAATGCTCGCTCATTAAGTACATTAGTTTTTTATTCTTACCTGCTCTTCAGATCTATAATTGTGTTCACAGAAACCTTAGCCTCGCCAAATTTTCTTTACGTAGCGTGCGATTCCGACTGTATAGGGTTCTGCGTAACGACCCCGGGAAGTCGGTTCTAAAATACTAGTCTAATGCAACATTTTGGCACCAATCGGTCCCTGGGGTTATTGATTTAGAACCAACGGTATAAATGTGGAAAATCAGGTCCATCCAATATTAGTTTTGGTCTCGTCTCGTGAAGTCCATGGCGTTGTTGTTGCTTAACACGCAAGAGGTTAGGCAACCTAATTACGTGTGCTTATTATTGAGATTAAAGGGTTTAATCGAGTCTTTGCTTTCACAGAAGTTGAGTGTAAGGTTAGGTAGGTTCTTGTGATTTGACTTGATATCCCAAGAAATTAAGAGCTATCTAAATAGTTATGCCTTTTTCCGAATACTCGATTAGGGTTTGTATTGCGGACTGGTTTTTCCTAGTGAGAATGTGTACATTGACCGAACCGAAGTCTCTAGCTATACGTGTTGTTGCTGCCCGACTTGTGCAGACCATAAGTGTTCAAATATTGCACTCCCATATAATTGCTTGGATAAACCCTAAACTGCACGTCGTGTGACAGCAACCTAGGTTTGCACACAGCTCTGCTGTATGGTCTTAATGAGCGCATTGAATTTGAGTGACGGTTAAGTCACCGGAAATCTCGAGTAGTAGCGCTTCCTGGGATCATAGATCATTGTGTTTAGTGGTTCGTGGTGATCAAAACATGAGAACCGAGGTCGTATGGGTGTGTTTGTGTTCTCTGAATCTGATGGTTTGGTCATTGATCTGTCACAGTTATTTCAACCTATATGGTTAGTGCCAGTTCTAGATAGTAGTGGAGTGTTCCCTGCATGTATGGCTCCGGTTAAACACATTTTTCCTATCGAGAATGTGTACTAATGATAAGAGGAACATTAAAAGCTCAGTAGCCAAACCATTCAGCTCCCAAAACAAATCTCAAAATCGTGCAGACGTCTGTATACTGATCAGAAATTAGCATACAATTCCTCGTCGGGTTGCCTATTCGGGAGATTTGTTGGCGCATATTAACGTGATCAGTCTTAAATGAATTAAGGTGATAATGGCAAAGCAAGCGGCTCTTATGTTCCTTTGTGGGGTCACACGTTAGCGTGGGCGATGTTTTAGTTTCTAAAACGATCAGATAGCTAGGTTTATCAGTTGTTCAGCTGCTTAGCGTGAAGTATAGCAGTTAAAGTGTAACATTCGGTTCTGCAAGTAAGGCGCTATATAATCCATAATTGCTTCGTGATCACTCGTCCGGGCACAGGCATGGTTAACTCGCTTCGACGATGTGCGTTGTTTTGGCCCTCACTTGAACAGTATAAACACCGAATAGCTCAGGAAAGCTGGGACCTTGTTGCCGTGCTGCAAACCCATTTGACCAGTCTCACATGGGCCAATTCTATGTGGAGGTACGTTCGTGTATCATCAAAGCGTTGTTCTCCAGTCTGCAACCTATAGATAGTTTGCGAACCAGTAGTCGAGAAGTGCTTATGGAGTATAGGCTACATTAGTTTATTAATAATGAGTTGAGTTTAAGCTAGAGTAATTCTTTACTATGATCTGCCTAAATGCACGGACTAGATCAGTAGTTTTTCAGCAGATACTCGTAAAGACAGTGTACTCAAGTTTGAAGCATGAGACTTACAAACGGTTCTTAATGCTGTTCGCTGAGGGTTGTTGGAAGTAGGCCTACAGTGGCACTGGTACACCAGTACGAAGTCAAGTGAGTGAGACCCAAAGGCTTAAGAATTAATGGCATTGCGTTGCAATACATATATTTACATGTGTAGAACAAAACGAGAAAATTAGGAATTCAGGAAATTAAAGTTAGTTTTAAAAAACACGTAGATCGAAGTGTAATTACATCCCAAATAAAACTAGTTTTAATCTTAAGGGAGGAGTTCATTCTTCAACTTATGTTGGATTTTTCTTGTCTTCTCCATATAATTACTGAACCCTTCTCATCTGCTGACGCTAACATATTCTCATCCCAACTGATCGCTACATCTAGCACTGGAGCTGTATGTCCCTGTAAAATGGTGACAACACCCGTGGACGTTTGTTTATTGTGAGAGGAACTGTTTCCTGTTGCGGGGTCTGCATTACGACTTCTCAACACATTATATAGGTATACATTGCAATCTTCACTTCCACTCGCAGCACATGCTCCAGAACGGAATGATATGAGTGGTGCAAAACATGAATGAATAAGACGAAGTGTTTTTGGGACGGAATTGAAAGAACGATGATGCACAGGAAACCTTTGCTCCAGAATCACGTTCCTATTATCTAATGTTAGTCGAAGCAGCAATAACCCGATACCAGCTGCATTGATCAATAAATATGTTTCACTTTTTTCTTTGGATAGCCATGAGTATATCGAAAGACTAGTTATGCTCGGCGCTAACGATGTACCTTCATTGCTGCGTAACTTATCTATCGTATTATGCGTACGTGCTCGGCTCTTCAGACTGCTCCACCTTTTGAAACTTTGGTCTGCTTTAGACAGGAAATAGGTTTTTCGAGTACTTGGCGGTCGTTCGTACAATAAATTATTAAGTTTTATTCCGTTCTCAGGGCAGGTTGGAACGACAGACAGATTCAGCGACGATATATCCACACGTTGTGATCTGATGATAAAGCCTGTTGATGGTTCACATAAATAGGACTGGATTATGCCTCGATCAGTTCCTACCCACAAGTAATTGCCTGTCGCATCTTCAAAAGCCAAAGTTGTAATACATCCTGTACCCAAAAGACCCCGTAGCTCAGTGACTGACGAATTTAGACGAGTTTTGCTACCTCGAGCAGCTACGTGAATACGGTCCATGCCTCTAACACAGGTCTTACCTGTAGAAAGATTCACCATCTAAAAATAACACGAGAAAGGGTGTGGCGTAGTACAGACAGGTTTCGAAAAATTGTTTGACCTTTGAAAATGTGAGTAACAAAAATAATCTTTAGGGCTCACTAAATGACATGCGTACAAATAAACATGAAGAAGCTTCACACAAAACGCAAGAGTGACACAATTGTGTTCCGATAACAACTTAAATGCAGTGTCCCACGTAGGAAAAAGACAAAAGCATAGTATTCGACATATTTTCTACTACAAAATTCACCGAATACATATGAGTCCAAAATAGTGCAAGCGAATCGACTAATATCAACAGCTTTGATAAGTGAGATAAACCAACAATTGACTACAGCAAGACAACTAGGATAGAGTCGCTGTTCAGTTAAAAAAACTGATTAAATATTCTAGGTATGTGTGCGGAGATGACAATATGCAATTGTATAGTTTACATTATCAACATTTGAGCAACGTATAAATAAGTACGAGGATCAATCTGTGAGGTGTTATATTAAACACAAAGTCAGTCAGTCATAAACAACATAGAACCTGGTGCGAATATACTGTACATTGCAGCAAGATCAGTAGCCAAGTAGTAGTATCAGTGACACGGAAGAATATTAGATACGAGGTACAGTCCCAGGAAAGTGTAGTTGCTGAATAAAAAGTATAAAAAAATTTCGAGACTACGGATCTAGGGTAAAGATAGGATGAATGTACACCTTTATTTTATATAATACTGAATTATTCGTTTAGTATATATACGGTATTGTGATTATTCATGACGAACAAGCACTTAGTCAGGTAGCTAACGGTGAGAATTCCTAAATACAAACATGGGGAGGGATTCACGAAAATGTATTTTAACTACTTATTTTATTTAGAGACGATCTCTTTAAGACCTAAGCACATAACATTCAATTTATTAAGGTGAAATAATTTATCTTTCAACTAGTGTAATTGCTATTCTGCATAAATGTAACGATAACGTTTATCCAAATTCACACCATTTAAGGAACACTGAAGATATTGTTGGGAAATTGCAGTCTTTTGATAAGCCTACTACTTTTCGGTAGTAAATACACAGAACCCTCCTAAATATTTCTGCCTATAAAGAATACTGGTGTATTCTAAGGACATAAGTTAGACTATTTAACTAATTGGTTTACCTGAATAATTCCAGTAACGCTACCAACGGCGAAAATGTTATTGTTTGCGGGTTGGAAGGCGCACGTCAATAGTGGGCCAAGTTTCAGCTCCGTACTTAAATACTCTCGTGCCAACTTAGCTTCTCCAACATCCCATAAACATATATTTCCATCTAGAGACGTACTTGCTAGAAATTCGTTGGTCATGGACCAGGCTATATCTGTAATTTCTGTTTGTTTTACACGATATTCTGGTAAAACGCATGCAATGGAAAAAACCCCACTAGCTGGGGAGATACGGCAGATGGATACAGTCCCATCAGACGAAGCCAAAGCTAAACGACTTGAATCGTGGTTTGCAAAACTCAAACGATTTACGGCGCCTAAAAGAAAGACAAACCAGAAAACAAATTGTTTAAAGTAGAGTACAGGAGGAACAAAATATCTTGACGTTTACCACAGTGCTCTGGTTGTAATCATGGTTTGTTACGGCTACATCACATCTGCAATGAATAAGAATCAAGATAGTAGGGCTGATGAGAATATTTCCTAGACAATGGAGTTGGGATCGCTAACATATAAATAAATTTTAGTCTGTATTATAAAAATATATAATCGGAGTAGGTTGTGATTTATCTTCGCAAGTGTAAGTTTCCAATGTGAAAGAATGATTCGTGTTAGTAATTAACCCATGGCCATACATAGTTAAATCATTAGGCTCTCAACAATTGAATCACGTATTCAAGCTCGCTCCCACTTACTATAATCCTTAGTCTTAAAACCAAAAGCGCTTATTTGAGAACAGTAGTGCGCAAGCAGATATTAACTGGTTTGAGGGTTCTTTCAAGAAAAGTGCTCGAAGCTTTTTAAGTTGCTCTTTGGAACACAAGGGCTTAGTAACTACTTAGCTGAAAAGTATTCAGATGATCTCATCTAATCTATCAGAAACAGTCTGACCTGTTTATTAACAAACAACCAAATGTTGAAAATTAAAAGGTTGTTGACTTCAATAAACCACGAACAACGGCCGTTCTGTTATGTGTGCTACTGGTGTCGACATATATAAGTAGTATGTATCATCAATCGAAACTGAAATGCCTGGAGGCAGAAAATTAAGATCGAAAAGAAGAGAACGAGGACAGAGAATGATTAGCGTGAAAACGAAGGAACGGTCAAGTCTGAAAAAATTGATTAACATTTTGCAAATGAAGTATTTACTGTATAGTTGTCAGATTTTATTGAGACTGTAATTTTGTGTTTAAATATATTCGGTTGTCCCCACTGGTGTTCTCGTTCACTACAGTGACAGATATATATATATATATATATATATATATATATATATATATAACTAGATAAATTGGAGGGACTACGATGACTGACTTGTAATATGTTTGACCAAATAATATTGACTGCTGTGCTGTATAATCAGTTCCAGAAACAATCAGTAGAGGTGAACTGCATGAGAAGACCATTGCTTATTAATCAGAGGCGATATTTGTTCACTGATCAACAATGGAATAATCCAAACCATTACAGATGGAGCCGAAACTCATACTCGTTTTACAAGCTAATGGCTATCGAGTCTCTAGCTCAGTGAGCTGATAATGTGTTGGGCACTGGAAGTGAAAAGTAATGAGTTCCATTCCTAGTGTGAAGTTCAGTTGTTTCCAATAAACATCATGTTGATGAATGAATTATCAACCAATAACGAGAAAGTTGTACGTAATTTAAATTCTTAAAAGTTTTTATGATTCCTTAGGTGACAATTTTAGAATATTAAGATAGTTTCCCCAAGCAATTACAAAAAACCCTTTAGAAAACCTTAACTTATTTACATTCAAAACGACTTATTGGTTGTTGATCGGCAACTCATTTTTCAATATTACGTTAATTAAAGATAAATTACCTTATTTTCATGCATGTCGTTTAAATAGAAAGAAACAATGTATGACAAATTTAGCATATTCTGCAAATATGGTCATTTTTGCTTTGTTTAAACAGAAGTTAACGCGAATGGCTTACGAAAGTAGGTCATACATTTTACTTATGAACGAGTAGATATTGATACTTTCACAAATTAGATGCGGCATGATATACTAAATCTAACTTTTTAAATAAACTTACCTGAATGGTGGTCAAAAATATGCTCAATACCAGAAAACGCATAACTCTCGCCTAAAGTTTCCGTCCTTCCGGGTGTAAGATAATCTGAAGATGTGTCCTAAATTCGGGTATAAGAGAAATTAAAAAAGCCATTAGAGGTTTGGTAAAACTGAAAAATTTGACGATATTAAGCAAACGGCTTGATAAATGATAGCTGATTGGGGTGAATAACAAAATTTAGACTTGCGAAGCGATCTACAAACAAACGTGTTACAAAATCAGAGGCTCATATATCTATAAATAATCCAATAACCGACATCTTTTTCTAATTTAGGAAATTAGTTCGAAACCCATAAGTCCAACAATACACAAAACGGACTAAAATGTAATACCAATCTTATAGGCAATTCAACTGGAAGTAAATGGACAGGTTCGAGGGGCAATTATTTTTTGTCTTGCAGCAGCCACGGTGCACAGTGGATCTCAGTCTGGACAATTCATGAATCTATCCGGGGATTGAGAGAAAGTAGAGCAACAACTTTAAAAATGGCAATAAGCATACTATTCACACATATTCGACAATTGAAATCACATAGCTACAGCTAGGCCACAAAAAAAGCAAGTATAAAAATACTTACACATATAGACCTAGTCATGGAGTAGTTCAGTAGGGAAGGCAGTT